CAAATATCCCTTATCTACAAGTTTTGTGTTATTGTCAGTAATGGCTAGAAAACATGCAAAAGTATATAAATTTATCATACTGGGGCATATATAGTTATAAGTGACATAGGAAGCATGGAAATGGACTTGCATATCTCTGAAATTGCCTTTGTGATTTATTATTTTGATGTGTCTATCAGAGCTGTAGGGAGACTAACACAGGCTAAGCATGGATAGAAGTCGAGTATGATTTGGGGATCAATGATAATTTGGTTTCAAAGCATTCTCTGGGGTTTTTCTCAAGTCTGGGGCAAATATGCATGACAGGCTTGGGACTTCAGTAATCAGAGATTTTCTGGGGAAAAGATGAAAACAGATTTTGCTTGTATCAGTGCAATTGCTGCAGGGACCACTTTGTTTAATCTGAGCTTGTATGGATTTGGGAAAATACTGTCACTTAGCATTACAGCTGTATGGATGCCCTCTGCCGCCCTACCATCACTTGGGGAAAAAACATTTAGGAAATTCTTTGGCTTCATTCTACTACTTCAGGCTGCACAAGAAAAAAGTAGCCAAGGAGCAAAGGATTGCAGAGAGTGAGCCATTTTGCATCACCTAGAAACACTTCTGTAAATCCAAGTCTGAGGCAGAGAAGGGGAGGAATAAGCATGTCTGTGGACACACAGCAGGTTTTAGTAGCCAGGACGGCCAACCCTGCACTTTTCATAAGCACTAACTTCAACAAGTTTGCATGTATCAGTATAGTGTGCCTCTTTCCTGAGCTCTTTGATTGCTGCTGCCTTATACAGCACCTGACATTTGGGTCATTTCGGGAGCATCTAAATTTTTGTTAGGATGTCTGTTGAGGTAATGCTGCAATTTATTCACGATCAGCATCACTTTGGCATTTAGTAATTGTTGCATATGGGCTAAAATCTATATCACATAAAATTTAGATGCTTCATGGTGGTAATCTCATAATGCTGCCCCACAGAATTCTAGGTTGCCCCCATGTCACAGGAGTGGTGGCTGGGGCACTAAGGGTCCAGGAGATCATGCTGGCTGGAGTAGGAGAACCCTGCACTCCCAGCATGCAGCCCTGCTCTCAGCACTGCCACAGACAGTAACCTCTTGGGACGTGCCCTCCGTGTCAAAACTTTCCAGACCAGCTGTGTTTTTACTATATTAACATCACAGATAAAAGCAAAGCTTGCGTCTTTCAGGGATCAGCCTATGCCCTGAAGTTCAGTTCTGGATCCCAGCTTTTCTGCTGGTCGGGAATGTTCTCACCCTGAATGTTTTACTCTCTCTTTTTAGCTAAAATGTGTAAGTGTCCACATAGAACATATATAATTTGGTATGTGCTGCCATAGCCTCCAGCAGTGCCATGCAAGTATCCATGCCCACCACCGACTCCTAAATCTGGATAGTGCTAGCTTTGCTACATATTGAAACAAAATTACAAAATGAATGTATTATGTGTCATCAGAATCTGTCTTTTTTGGGGCAAATAAGTGGAGTTTGATAGAGGCTATATCATAATAAATTTCATCCACTCAAGCATGCATATCTCACTTTAAAACTCTGCAGAGCAAGGTGAACGCCTCATTGTGCTTTAGCCTCTGGCCACAGTGACATTCACACTGTGATATTATACACAGATAATTATAGCGTGCATCTTTTTAGGACACAGTTTCCAGAAGCAAAGAAATTGCAGGAATGATGTTATTCATCAGATACAAGCTGGCCATTTTCTATTATTTTCAAACTTTCCAGTTGGAAAATTATTCTGCACCTTTGCCTGAGTTCAGTAATACTGCTGAGGGGTTTACCATATTTTGTTTGATTTGGGTTTTATTTGCTCAGCATATACTGCTTATGAGCCAGGTTCTCATTTGGTAAATACTGGTGTGATGAGCTTCACTTTGTGGATGTACTTAGATCCCTTATATCCCTTTGCACAAACAAAAATTTGGGCATGAGGGAGAAAGCTCCACTGTGGTGTTCTGACTGATACTCTGACAGCCACATGCTGTTGATTTCTTAACAGAAATAGCCCTTTTTTTTCTGCTCGCTAGATCATAACTAACATCTCATCCACAACTACTGTTTACTGGATGGAGGGTGTGATGAGGCAACCAGTGGTTTTGCATGTAGCTTAAGACACCTTTGGTGGAGAACCATCAAAGTGCTCTCTGCCCACAGCACGGGCATAAAAGGCAGGTCCTGGGGGACCAAGCTGAAGCCTTTTCAGAGATTGTTATGTTTGGATTTCCCTCAGCAGCTTCACAACCGGGGAAGTTCCTTCTCTTAACTATTTGCTTCTGCTTCCTTGCTGTCCTCTGAGCTGTTTCCAATGCACGGAGCACTATGGTGAACCAAATCAACAAGCTTTCCTGAGCTAAAAATACCCTCTGCACAATTATTTATTTATTGTCCTATATTATTTGTAGCTTTGATCAGCTCTTTGGCATGGTTTCCAGAGAGGTCCCATGGGAGAGGGAGAGAGAGGGAGAGGGACGAGTGCAAGAGTAACCATGGCCTCTGACTACTGCCTCAGCCTTGACCTAGTAAGCAGTGAAAAAGTCTCTCTTTCTCAAGACAGCTGACCCAAGTTCAGAGCTCCATCACTTGTCTGATCCCAAGAGAAGCACATTCAAATGCAGTTTGTCTTAGGGGTTGTTTCAGCAAGCTGGGCTGTTGTATGTTGTTGTATGACCTAACTGGTGCCAAGCCACATAGAGTCGATCAAGGACACAGGTGGCCAGAAGAAAGCTCCTCCTTCCAGCTGTCCTTTGTCTCAGGTGTAGCATAAACACTGCAGCTTTTGCATTGGGCCTGTATTGAGTATCAGGGCAGATCTTTGCTAGTAACCTCAGAGGTGCAACAAGTGCATCAGGCCATTTGTGGACCCTGAAGACCACAGCAGGATGGCTTGTAAGTTTTTATTTCTGTCAGCAGTCTAAACTGCACCTGGTCCTGCACTGTGTTGGAGTGCTTTCCAAAATCACACTGTTCTAAAGATCAGATATGAGATGCCTAAACTGAGCATCCAAGCTGAGGTTTTGAACAGTCTGAGAAACTGTTATTACTGGTTTTTTCTTGGTTGTAGGATAACATTGCTTAAAATTCAAGATGCCCTCTGGGATGACTCTTTGACTTTTCCAGTCAGTTCAAAGACTCTTCATCCCTGTCCCCAACAGCAACACATTTTCCAGAGCAGACTAGCCATATGACAGTATTTCTAACTTTCAAAATGTGATCACTCCACAGAATAAAAACTTACCCATGACTCTGATAATCTGTGGTCCTTGTACTTGAAGCAGACAGCAAATACAGATTTGAAATATGAACACAACACAACAGTTAAGTTTGAAACTGGAACAGAAACTGAAACAGAAAATCCCACTTAGAATTTTTAAAGCAAATGTTAAGAAATTCAGAAATTCAAAATATATAAAAAGGGTTAAGCAGCTTAGATGATGCACTCACAGTCACTGTGTTTCCATTTACCAGCAGTTGCCACTCTGATTCCAGACACTATAATGTTTATCTGTATATATAATGAGAAATAACTGAGGAATGTGAGTGAACAGCCTTGCTTTAAACATGGTCCAGAGTATTTTATCTGTTATCACTGTAACTCCTAATGCTGATGATTGTACTGAGAAGTACCGCATGTTCAGAGAATAGTTTTGATGATTGGTGTGTTTTATCACTCTCATTACGTTCTTTCTCCTACTAATACATCAGTTGTTTGGTAAATCTTCAACAGGTGTTGTCTTTTGTTACTAGAACTGAAACATATTTCCAGTTTTGTCAAGAGTCTTTGTTATTTGCTTTGTAGTACCCCAATTTGTGATTGGTACTTCTATGAATTATGGTTCTACAAAAGTATTGTTTCATGTATTAATTTCTCCATGTTAAAAGAATACAATTCTTTCGATGTGTTATGGAAAGCTGTGCAGTCAGGCTGGGGTTGCATTATACAAACCATAACATGACAGGCTCATTTTGCTCCCACTGAAGAGCAAAGCTGAGCTGAAGGAGCCCCTGGAAGGGGTTGTGAAGTTTTTTACCACATTGTCATCTATATCATTCTCTTTTGCTCCGTATTAGCATAACTGAGAGATGTGTTCATTTGACCCCTATAGGGATAGCTCAGGGAATGACTGTATGAGTACAGAATTTTTGAGGATTGTGTCTGGTGTTTTTCTTCAGAGCAATTTTGCATTTTGCTCATTCATTGTAATCAAATACAATGGTGATAACTTTTTTCAGTTCCTCTAGATTTAATAAAGCAGAGTAACATAATTTCATGAGGGGATTAATTTTTCCATCGTGCTGTTATAAATATTTGGAATCTCAGTGGTGTTCCGTGTGACACCTCTTCCTTCCCCACCAGGCAGAGGTAGATTTGAGTGCCAAAGATGAATATGCCAGAAAATCTCCTGAATCTGTCACACTCTCAAAACGTCAGAGTGGCAAGAGATATGTAAGCCCTGGAGGTTCAGTTAGACCTCAAAACCTGAATTTGTAGCTTAAGGGATCCTTCAGGAAGTCTCCCTTCCTCCCTCTGAGCTTATAAGGAGACCCAATGCCCCTGAAAGTAATGTAAAGTAGGTCCTCAGGGAAATCACCTTTGGGGGCACCTGGCAGTATGCCAGTTTCAGTAGTGTTCAGTGGAACTGTATCACTATCCTCTCCTCAGGAACTGGGTTATGTCTGTGATACAGAAAACTTTGTGCTACCTATGTACAAAACCCTCGTATTGAAGCTTTTCTATAACAGAAAGTGATGGAGGGCTAAATTCTGCTCTAAATTCTGGTACATCTCTGTTCCTGGGAAACACTGCATACTTCCTACACTCTTGCCATTACAGTAATGACAGATAACGGTCCTGTTTCTTATGAAGCTGATGCTTAACTTACTGTGGTGCTTTTAAAGATAAGTGAGCAACAAGTCTTTGCCCTGTAGTTATCCTTCCTTACCTTCATGGAGCTTTCTTCTTTCCTTCACAGTTTGTCAAGGGACAAATAACAAGTTGACCCAACTGGGACATGTGGAAGACCATTTCACCAGCCTGCAGAGGATGTACAACAATTGTGAGGTGGTACTCAGCAACCTGGAGATTACATATGTGGAGCACAATCGAGATCTCTCTTTCCTGAAGGTTAGTGTTCATTGCCAATGAGGCCTTCTCTGCTACAACAAATCCTACTCCATCTTTTAAGTGCAAAGGATCAACTGCTCATAAAATTCTGTGGTGATCCAAAAAGCATAGCTAGTTAACATCAGAGGAAGCCTGATCGCAGCCTACAGTCTAAGCAAACCTGTAGGTTGCAGGATGCACTCTACCCTGCTAAACACATCAGATACTTTAAAAAAAGCTTTTCAAGCACTTGCCAGCCTGTGCTGGGTGCCATGCAGATTGGTTTCTTCTTATGTATAATTAGAATTATATCCTTACCTGTTACCTCACTTAGCAGAGAGCAAAAGGCTTTGTGGTGCTGTTGGGCAAAGCAAAGCACAAAGTGAGTGACAGGTTTTGAAGTGTGGTGGCCTTTTCCCTGCCCTCCAAACTGTGATCCCTTCCCCGGCCATGGTGGTGAGTGCCTCTCCAGCCTGAAGTGCTCACACCCTCAGCAGGCAGGCAAGTCCTGTGCAATAACTTCCTACATGGATTCTTGAAGTGATCTTCAAGATAATCCTCTGTGATTGACACGTGGGCTACTCCCATCTCAACATTTGTTTTGTGCACAAGTTCACGGGCAAATTAAGGCAAGCTAAGGAGGGAGTGGACAGGAGGATGGATGTTAAAATGCAGCCATGGAATGGGGAGGAGCCATGGCTGACATGCAGACCTCCAGGTTCTCCAGCAGCAAGTAACATGCAAGATCAAAAAATATATGGTTTGAACATATGGGTTAGAAATATGATGGTATTGCCATTCTTCTTTCCCAAACACAACCTGATCACAGAGCTCAGGGTTCTGAGGAACGTAACGAGTCTCTTGCAAATTTACTGGTAGTCTTCATAGAAAAGGAAAATATCCGAAGTAGTAGCCTGAAGGATTTTCACTTACGGTGATTTTTGTAGAGGATAGAAATGCATACATTTCACAGTGCAAGACAAGAATTAACCCACAGGCAGGAGCAGTACCTCACTTGTCTTTTTGTCCTGCAAAGATATATACTATTAAAAAGGAGAAGGTTGCCTAGTCTTCCCCTCTGATGAGCAAGGCAAGGGGCATAGAAGAGACAATGTAAAAGCCTGAATCAGGTGGCAGACAGTTGCATGTGCTGTCAGTTGTTGAAGGCCAGGCAAGTATTTATGGGAAGCATCAAACTTAGTTGCCATTCATGCATTCTTGCCCTTTTCTCCTGCATCCCCTAGTCAGCTTCACTTACCCTTATTTGAGGACAGAATAGGGATATGCTGGACCTTTGGAATGACCCCCTGGTAGCTGCTGAAAGGGTGAGTTTATACATGCTTAACCACCAAGGTTTTTCACACAGTCCCTTTTTCTTCTTAGATTTATTTATTTTTAATGAGATTAAGTGGTTTGTCATTCCTTAAAATTGAAAAATGGTGGATTGGAAGAGTGAGAGGAGGAAAGCAGTTATTGAAGTGTAATATAGATTAAGCACCTTGTTTCTTCTCTTGTTCTCTCAGACAATACAGGAGGTTGCAGGTTACGTGCTCATCGCACTTAACATGGTGGATGTCATTCCCCTCGAAAACCTCCAGATTATCCGAGGCAATGTGCTCTATGACAACTCTTATGCCCTGGCAGTTTTATCCAACTACCACATGAATAAAACCCAAGGACTCCGACAGCTGCCAATGAAGCGGCTTTCAGGTGAGACACGGGCAACAGGTGGAGGCACCTCTAAAGCCAATTTCAACTGTCAGCTTACTGGTGTCAAGATCTATTGGAGATTGCCTCTCAGAGTCATATGCCATCAAACCCCTCTTTAAAAGCAAGGATCTGAATGTAGTTTTCTAATTGCTTTCCTACTAGCCAGTCTTCTGCAAAAGACAAAGAAAATTCATCAAGATTCATCTTTGTTCCTGAAACTGGCAAAGAAGCATCCATTTGTTATTCTGTATTCTTTGATTCCAGTGCACACATATCAATATTTTCTGTTACACCCCTGTGGGAGCTAGTAATATGTGTCTTACATGGTCTCTGGCTACTCACACCAGGAGTCCTACTCTGCTGAGTGCTGTGGGCCCTTGAGGTGGCAGAAAACTACTCATAGTGGCATCTTTGTGGCATCCGAGAAAACCTGACTCTCCAGAACCTGTCAGTCTGATCCTGGTGTTAGTTACACCATCAGGAGTGCTGATGCCCTCCAGATTGTTCGTTTCATCAGTATCATGTGACTGAGGTGGAGAAAGATGTAACTTATTTCTCTTTCTTTAGATCAGAGATATTTTGGGGATGTCTCTGGGGCAAATTAGCAATTTGCTTCACTTAACAATTTTTTTTGTTTCTGTAACAGAAATTCTCAATGGAGGTGTTAAAATCAGCAACAACCCCAAACTGTGCAACATGGACACTGTTCTTTGGAATGACATCATTGACACAAGCAAGAAGCCTCCCACAGTGCTTGAATTTGCGAGCAACCTGTCTTCTTGTGAGTATTAACTTACCAAAAGTGCTATGTGTCCCCCTCCATTTCAGAGAGTAAAATGAACATCCCATCATTCACGCAGTGGGTTCCTGGTCCAACAATTTCTAATGAAGGCCACCAAGCCCTGTTCCAAGGGAAGTGCTTTTATTTCTACACCACTGGACTGAGACAGAATATTTGCATGACGGTTAGGTCCTTAGCTCAGCAAAGTTCTTGGGAATGTTCCTCTTGGTTTAAGACAGTACCCTGCATATGCACTCAGCTCAGAAAGACAGCTCAGAAAAAAACATGCATTCATTTGCTTTCCATCAATCTTCTGTTTAAGGCTCTGGCCAACAATATGGGGAGTTTCATGGAGTTACTCCAAGCCTTTTTAGAGCTAAGGCCCAAGTTGAATAATGTAAAATTCTCCGGGTTTGGGCTGCACAGATTACCTTGGCAAAAGTAATAATAAACAGGTAGATAAATCTGACACTTCAGATCAACAGGGAGATGAGGGGATATTTTAGAGTTTGTACAGCGTACGCTTAGAGCGGACTCAGGCTAATCCTTCAGTCTTACGAGTTCCTTGTAAAATCCCTAGTCATTTCACAGAAAGGAGGGTTTATTTTCATTTCTGAGCATTTTATTTCCGGCACTATAAATTGGCAGGAAAATGTATTTTCTTTATCTTCTTCCAGTTGCATAATTGTCTGCGAGCTAATAGCCAACTTCTGTGTTGACTTATTTTTCTACTGAGCCCTGGCGTAATCAAGGAGTTGCAAACTATACATGTCAGTACAGGAGTTTGGCTCTGAACACCACAGAAATGTTAACCTTTAACTTTTCAACTTAAAAAAAAAAAGGTTATTTGGTCCCACACCAAATCAATCAACTCTTGGACAAGTATTGGCACTTGTTCAGCTATTTGATGGCTGACAGGGGGAAGGAGAATCACATGTTGTAAGTGGGAAGAAACACTCCAGTAGGAAATGCCTTTCAAATGTAGTGAATTCCACATTAATCTGCTAAGACAGCCTTTTATGGCTTCAATAATGATCCCATACTCTAAAATAAGTTGTTTCTCTGGGACTTTACTTATCATTGAGAGAAAGAGGAAAGAATAGAGCAAGAGAGGAAGGGGAAAGAAGCCAGCACTGAACACTCGAGGTCAGGCAAGGTGTCCGTCCATCCTGCCCAGCTCTCCATCAATTGTCCATCTGCAGCATAGTCCTACATAAGGACTATTTTTGGTAGAGGATAGGAGGAGAGCACAAAGCAGACAAGTCAAATTGCTTTGTGGTCAGAGGAGCTGGCAGTTGCCTGTGAATCCAGTTGGATTTGTTTTCTTTTTAGAACTGCCTTGTTCAGAAACAGTGATTTACATGTGGCCTGTAGAGAGCAGCTGGCACATGCCTGACTTCAAGCCAGTGGTGACTTGCCATTGCATGAAAACCCCAGCAGAAGGGCCAGCCGGGCAGTAGCTGAGATCCCTGTTCCTGGGAAAAATATGCCTCTTTCGTAAGCTAGACTGGCTGGGTATTGTCCTCGCTTGCTCAAAGGTGTGGAGGTGGAGAACTGCACGTAGGAAAGCAGAGGTGAACAGAGGATAACGAATTCAGCTCTCAAATTTTTTTGAGCACTGTTATATAGATGCTTCCTACTCTGGTTTATCAGGAAGGAAATCTCAAGTCATTGTTTTCTGTTGTTCATGGTACATGGTTGTTTTCTTTGTTTACAGAATATTATGCTCTCTCTTAGATATTATACTCTGTGTTTTAGGTCCCAAATGCCATCAGAACTGCACAGAAGACCACTGCTGGGGCCCTGGTGAACAAAACTGCCAGACATGTAAGCCTGCAGATGAGTTAAGAAATAGCTTGTGTGCTCTAACATACATACTACATTTCTGTCTCCTGAAAAACTTAACCATAATTATGCAGGTAGGCTGCTTCCCTGATACTAAGAGAGCAGCAGAAACATCCATTTACAAGTGCCTGAGATTTTGCAACAGTTTATTTTTTCTAAAGTAAAGGTTGGGGAGGACCACCATGTCAAATTTGTTTTAGTCCTTTTATTTATTTTTTTTTAAAGTAGGGAAATACACTAGGTTTTGTTTCGGGAAAAGTTCAGTGGAAAAGCTGCTGATCTAGACATAATGCAAATGGAAGCAACATCCTACATTCAGTTTTCCATTGCAAATAGTCACCTGAACCTAAGGTTTTGTCTGCAAATATCAAGCCAAATTTGTATGACTTAGAGTTTGAGGAAAGAGAAGCATATATCTTTCCTGTCTTCATTTAGTGTAAGCTTCAGTTTTTGTCAGTTGGCTCTGCAGTTTGGCTCTCAGGGTGGACAGTGGCTGTGCTTACAAAGCCCTTCCTGGGTTGGTTCCTGCATCTGAGGCTGCACAGCTGGCCCAGGACCTTGTGAAATCTCAGGTCTCAGCCCTGCAAGCTTTCAGCATTTACAAACCCTCGCTGGAATCAGGAGGTTGACGAGTGCATAAAATAAAATCTTTTGCGGGCTCTTGCTCACCTCTCCAGGCATTTTGAGAGTCTGGCCAACTGAAAATGTTTCCCACATTTCCATATGTGGGAAAGTTTGGGGGATATGTCTCTTTCTCCTGGAAATTAATGTCAGATAGTCTATATGAAATAAAAATGTTTGATGTAATATATGTTTCCAGCAGGAAACTCCAGTCAATAGTTATCAAAGTGATGAGGTGCTTTATTCCCCTGTTAATTCTTATGAAAAAAAATGTATCAAAATGCTGTTCACGTAGAACAATGTCCCATTTATTTTCTTGTTTCTAGTTGAGTGAAGGAGTTGCTATCAGAGAAGTTAATGCATACTGTGGAAATAATCTGCTTCCTTGAAAATATACTACCTTGCTTACAGGTCTAGAAGAAAAAATAAAGTAATACTGTTTGGATACAGAACTGTGTAAAGGAAAAAGAATATATTATTTTTAAAAATCTCTGTTATATTACCTATAGCTGGCTTTTTTTGGAAATAATTTTCTGTTAATTAACAACCATGGCTTTCAGACTTACAGGAATTCCTGATAATATTGTAACTCATTTGTGCCAACTGTTATGTTGATAACAGTTAACACAGTGCACAGCTGAAATGCTCAGGGTGTTATATGAAGCAGAGTAGCCATGAGGTTCTTCAGGCACCTTATACCAGGCTCTGTGGATCTGTAATTTTTTTTTTTTATTTTTTAGACACCAAACAATCCTATTTTGTGTCTCTGGTACAAAAACATGCTAGCTATTCATTTGTGGAGTTTTTAAAAATTGCTCTGATTAGCCTTTTCTCTGCTTTGATATTCAAATGGAGAAGTTTTCCCAATTCTCAACAAAATGTTGCAGGCAGTTTTTGCTTCCCTGAAAAGAGCTGGACCAGGGCCAGTTCTTCCTTTGGGTTGTTGCACTGGTGCAAACCCTGAGGGAGTTGTGTAATGAAGATAAGATTTGGCCAAGGATTTGAATATTAAAGAAAAATAATTCAATGTGTGTATAAAATCTGTTTGCTGAGTGAGTCTCCCCCTATCTCTGCAAATTTTGGAAATATTTTAGTGCATTAAAGGGACATTTTACAGCACCACACCAGCAATGTACAGTTTCCAGTTACAGTACAGAGTCCTGCCAATTCTGTCACATTGTTTTTCTCAAAGTTAGCACCGATAATAATTGGTAAATTTTCTCCGTGAAATGGACACAGATTCTACCCTGTTGTCCAGCTATAAGATGCAATGACTGTCACAGTTTTATTTGGTCTAGGCATTGATGCAACAGGGTTGTTCTTTCTAAGCAAGACATATTTCCTGAGTTCTTAGCACCTCATAAGAGCCAAGATAATTACAGGCTGAACATGAGCCCTTCTTACCACCACCCACACTCGCTCTTACCCCTCCCAAACTTTGGCCTTAAATGAGGACAGACCATCCCACGAGGAAAATCTAGCACAGAACCTGCACCAGACCCTTTCTCCATATTTCTTGATCTCATTGCAGCAAGTACAGCTGATGTTTTTCATTTTTTCTCCTCTCTTCCAGTAACAAAAGTCATCTGTGCTCAGCAGTGCTCGGGTCGGTGCAGGGGAAAGGTGCCCAGCGATTGCTGCCACAACCAGTGTGCTGCGGGGTGCACTGGCCCTCGGGAGAGTGACTGCCTGGTAATGACACTACACTGCCCCCAGAATGGCTTCAATCCCTGACACGGCAAGCAGGGCTTTCAGCTGCATGTCCTCTAGCCTTCTGCAGCCCCAGAAGGCCTCCTGAGAAATGCTGACCTGGAGCATGCACGGGTGGTGGTTGGGACGGAAGATGGCATAAACTTCACAGCTCCCTTAGCTGGTCTTTACTGACTCTGCCCAAGGATCTTCCTAGTGTGTTCTAAACCCATGCTAGTGCCTTTGACCGCCCAGTGAGTGCAACATTATTGCAGAGCATCCAAGTGTTTGCTGTAGGCAACTTCCCCACATGAGCAGGTCCACAGGCCCACGGCTGTCCCCATGGTGCAGCAGTTTTCCAGGCCAGCACGGCTTTGCCTTGTACTCCTTAGCACCAGTCAGTAATAATCTTGGTTTGCTAAAGCAAGAACTTGTACGGGAAGTAAGAAGTGATGATGGATCTTAATTTTTTTTGCATTTCACTGAAGTTCACACATGAAATCCCGGTTTCACTTTCTGCTTTTGACTTGCCACAAAAGCACTGTGTTTGGGGAACCCTGGGGCAGTGAAGAGAGAAGAAACAAATGGAGCTTCTTTAGGAAATAAAGGTCCCATTGCTTTTCCACCAGAGTTTCAGGGGTTGGTGCATGCTGTGGTTTTAACTCTTCCCCATGTTTGCACTGCACTTCATTTGAAATTAAGTGACATCTCAGTAATCACCATAGAAATCATCCAACCTGGATTTTATTGTTGTTACCTCTATTCCTGGTTTCTGTTTAAGATGGCTATGATCCCCTTACTAGTTCACAGAGAAGACAGTTACTGTCTCTCATCTGGAAAGCCAGGGGAGAAGAAAGGGAAAAAGAGAGTCATGATTAATTTAATGCAGATTTAGATTGGAAGAACCAACTTGCCCTTCATAAATGTCTGCTAAATTGTTCATTACCTGCAGCCAAATATAATGGCTTGAGTTTAATATTTAGCCAGAAAAGTCAGTAATTGGCAGGAAAGGACTTGATTTGATTTAGGTTATTAAAAACTGGCCAAGAAAAGTACACTTTGTCTTGATCTGGTTGCTGCTTGTAGGGAAAATTTTTCTGTCTAAGGCATGCAGATTTGCTCTTGTTCCCATGTGAATCCCAGCAGCTCTCCTCCAGAGTGCCAAGGTTTCTTGTTCAGAAAAATAAAAGCTCACGGATTCTTTTAAAAAAAATACTAAACTCCATTGCCCAGCCTGAAGCAACCTTTCAACTTCAAAGCCTGAGGGACCATCCTCTTGGATGGTAGCTGCTTGGGATTTCCATTAGAGCTAAGCAGGAAGCAGATGAGGCCATCAGCGTGTTTTGAAGACCTAATGTAGAATCACTGTCACTTTTTAAGGAGAGGGCAGTTTAACGGGTGCTGTTGTTCAATGACAGGCATGCCGCAAGTTTCGGGATGATGCTACATGCAAGGATACGTGTCCCCCATTGGTCCTGTATAACCCTACCACTTACCAGATGGATGTGAACCCTGAAGGAAAATACAGCTTCGGAGCCACTTGTGTGAAGGAGTGTCCACGTAAGTTCATTTCAGGTTGCAGCCCCAGAGGAGGTGGAGGAGTTGGAGAAAAAGGGGAAAGATTCTATGTTCATCCCTCTGTTGTGGTCAGGTAAAAGATCACATGTTCTCTTCAGCTTCTGTGGGAACTGAAAACAGCAATGACAAAGTGAGCCTCTTCAAACAGTCTGCATCCATCACCTTGCCTGATTTTTAATCTTTGCATTTTGACTTCTGAAAATTTTTCACTTGGTGAAGAGAAATGCATCTTCTAAAAACCATTAAAACAATAGCTATATGGGATCAATGCTGTGGATTACCAAAGCCTTATCAACTTTTAACCGGTTCTTAATTAGGACTGTTAAAAAGTAATTGATTTTAACACTCTGTCTCAAGGCCTGTGATCATTGTTTTCTCTTCAGATGCTTGCTTTTCCTTTCTTGCTGTTTCATTTCTGTATTTTTTTAATCTATTAAGACTTGAATGTTGTTTTATCCTTCTATGATCATTTCCTTCCCTTTAAAATGGTGATAGCACTGAATGTTCATCTACTCTCAGATTACATTTATGATGTTCATAGTTAATGCCTGTACTTTCCTAAGTGTGCCAAAAGCTCAAACCCCCTTTTCCTTATAAGTCTTGAAGTGCTTGTCTGGCCCTCAAAGCATCCCTCTTGTATTTCAGTCACCTTTGTATCCTTTTTATTTTCCAGACAACTACGTGGTGACAGACCACGGCTCCTGTGTTCGCTCATGCAACGCTGATACTTATGAAGTGGAAGAAAATGGTGTTCGAAAGTGTAAAAAGTGTGATGGGCTATGCAGCAAAGGTATAAAAAGCATGGAATAAATCAGTAAGGCTTTGAGATGATAGAGAACTTACTAGGAAAAGTGTAGGGAGTTCTGATCTTAGTTAAGTGCAAATTCAATGTAAATCATATCCAATAATAGTCAGGAGATCCAACAAGTGGTTTGATCAGGAAGCATGGCTGTGGACCATGCCCTCCAGATGGGATACACCACAAGTACAGTAGATAAGCTATGTGTTGTGTTCATGTATATCTTGCATGTCAGGGTTCTCCATTTGTCCTTCCCAGTTTCTCATCAAGGGGAATGGAAATGGGGAGGAAGAGACAAGGAAATGTGCCAGAGGCTGTGTGCAAATATGCTCAGACCAGAGCTGCACAGCTGGGCAAGCAGGAAGCAGTTATCCTGTGGCACTTTCTGAAAAGCAAAAATAGGCAAAAGATTTATGAAACTCATCTTAGAGTGGTAGGTTTGACCATGGGGGAATTCTTTCTGAGTTTGTGGCACCTCCATGTTTCTACCTTGCAATGTGACTGGGCTTCACTTTTGTCCCCCCTAACTTTTGTACCTCTCCTTTAACAGTGTGCAATGGCATCGGAATAGGTGAACTTAAAGGGATCCTCTCCATAAATGCCACAAATATCGATTCCTTCAAAAACTGTACCAAGATCAATGGGGACGTCAGCATTCTCCCGGTTGCATTTCTAGGGTGAGTTATCTACTGGCCACCAAGCCCTGAAAGAAAAGGGCTTGGGAAAACCCAGACTAAGCTGTTCTTTTCCCAATTTCTCATTCTCTTTTTTTCCAGTGATGCCTTTACAAAGACCCTACCTTTGGATCCCAAGAAGTTGGATGTCTTCAAAACAGTCAAAGAAATATCAGGTTAGCAGTGAATTTAAGCTGAGGTGGTTTTTGACTGATACTACCAAAAATACAAATTGAGAGGAGGGAAGATTTTTAAGCACATGAAGAGAAGTGCATGCAAAGTGTTTCTTGTCTCTGAGCTTAACAAGGGTCACTCTTAACCAAGGTGGTCAGCAGCACCTTGCCAGCATTACTCCCACATAACACATACTTGGTCTTCCATCCAAGGTGTGTGGTTTGGCCAGAACATCCCTTCTGCTGAGCTGTCAGCCCTAGAAAAGAGTAAAAGCAGTGGAGATCCTCAGCCACCCAAGAAGCATGTGGTGATGCAGAGACATGCCACTCCAGCTAAAAAAAAAGCCAAGTGTGTTTCTATTTGTGGAAAACTTTTCAGCAGCTCCTTAGGGAAGCGTGCTCAGTGGGTTGTGTCATCCTTATGGAGACACCCTCTCCAGCCTGAAGGGCTCTTCCTTGGGGTGAATGTGTCTCCATGAGCACAAAGCAGCCAGCGGAGCACTCAGCCACCGTCTTGCACCAAGTGTCAATTAAAAGTAATTGTGTTCAGCCCATTATGAAATGAATGTAACATCGGAGCCCGGTCTACAGACATGACTCCTGTTCTCCTTTTCTTTCTCACCTGTGTGATTCCCTTCAGGGTAGAAATGACTAACTGCAGAGCTTCATACAGCAGCCTGTAATTTTCCAAATTCTCCCCTTCCTCCCAAACACCTCAGCTGAGTGGGGAATTCTGCTTGCCTCAGAAAATCCACTACCAGTAGCTATTCTGCTCTGTTCCCGCTTTTCAGTTTTCCTCTTTCCTGAGGTCAGCTGAAAAATGGGATGGAGTTCTGCCTTTCTCCCACAGATCCAGAGTCTGCAGCCTCTCAGCCAGAGTGTCTACTGACAAGAGCCATCATTGCTGGTGACTCGGTGTGGCAGGATGTGCAGCTCATCGACATGCTCTCTTATGCTTCTAAGCCCTCATGGTGGGCTAAGAAGTAAACTGTTTATAAAACAGTGCTTAAAAATATCTCCTTGCTCCCTAAAATGTCATGTTAGACTTTCAGATCCTTCAGATAAGCATAGGGAAAATACAAGCGCCTTCTCCTGGTACAGGATTTGCTACCGGAGAAGGTTCTACTGCCAGTATTAACAGTGAGTTTATTTCTATTGTGATCGTTTTTTAATCCTCTTTTCCTCTTTCAGGATTTTTGTTGATTCAAGCCTGGCCTGAGAATGCTACTGATCTCTATGCTTTCGAAAATCTGGAGATTATACGAGGCAGAACAAAGCAACAGTAAGTAAATCATGTGGCACAGCCACTCTAAGAGAAACCCCGTTTTGAGCTGCTCTTGTCTGAGAATACCAAGGTTGCAAGCAGTGTGAGACTCAGGTGTCCCAAAACTGATGCAAAATGGAGCAAAGGAGTAGGGCACCATCTCTGTAGCATAGATAATGTGCCCTAGGAGTAAAGACCCTCAGCTCTGTGCCATATAGAAAGGCTGCCCTGAGCCTACTTTCAGGACCAGGGTCTTTGCCACCATCCTGGAAGCACAGGCAGGACACAAAGTGCTCTTTGCAGTCTGGGGTAAGTCACAATGTGATCAGAAGCACTGTGGGATTTGAGGTAGCAGGGCAGTCATGGATGGAGGCTGCCAAGTAGTGCAGACACCAGCAATGCTTTCAGTGCCCTCCTAGGCTTGCCCCAAGAGGAAGAATGATTTGGTGGACAAGCACAAAATAATAGCTGCTTTACCTACAACCATTGTTCCATATCATTTACCTGTCAGATGGTGTGTGTCCTGAGAGTTTTAGCTTAAAAAGCCCTTGCAAAACCAGATGTGAATATTGCAGTTTTTACATAATAGGCATGTAATGTACAAGGCATTAAGTTTAGAAGGCTGAGCAGAATCTTGCTTGAAGAAAATGCAGTTCACAGCAGGACGCATTTGACAAAAAAAAAGAAAAACATATTGAGTAAATCCTGCTTACTAATTACCTTTCTTGCATGTTTTTTGTATTTTTCCTTCTCCATTTTAGTGGCCAGTATTCCCTTGCTGTTGTTAACTTGAAAATACAGTCCCTAGGACTGCGGTCCCTCAAGGAAATAAGTGATGGAGATGTTGCTATTATGAGGAACAAGAACCTCTGCTATGCTGATACCATGGACTGGCACAGCCTTTTTGCAACTCAGAGCCAGAAAACGAAGATTTTACAGAATAGAGATAAAAATGAGTGTGGTAAGTGAGTGCTGCATTCCTGCTCACCATCAAAACTCATGCTGAAATTCAAGAGTAAGCTTGCATTTTCATGATTCAAGCAAGACTTTTTTTCTTCCTGTTCCACTGGCTACAAAATTCATCAGTGATACTACTTTAATGAAAGTGGTGAGGGAAGAGTGGGATTTTTTTCTTCCCACCAAAATGTGGACTTTGTGGTGTCCAGCAAATCAGGAACTTCTTCACTACTATGAACACAGTGAAGCCACGTCAGTTGAAGGACACAAATGTGAGGTTAGGTGTCCGGGAGCTCACAGCACCCACTTGTAGGGTTGTTTTCTTCAATGAGCCAAGCAGCTAATAGTTGCTACAAACTTATTTATTGCAGAAGCACATCAGTCTCAAAAGCAAAAGTCACAGACAGTAAAGTCCATGCTAGGTTTTGGTTTAAAGTCACGAACAGAAGCAGAAGCTGCTCCTGGAGGCCCTGGCAGGGCCGATGTTGCTGCAGCTCCTATCTTCTTCTTGGGTGTTGATGATGGCAGCAAGAGAGCAGGAACAAAAGCAAAGCAAAAGCAATGGCAAAAAGCACCAGCTCTCCCCAATGCACGTTTTTAATAGAAATTTCCCAACGAGCTAAAACACAAACTATTTCTTAACGTATTAGAATACTAGTTTCTTAGCATGCCAGGTTATGTATAAACTACGTACATGTCCTATCTTGTTCTAACTGAAAAATGTAAGCAATATTCTTAACTATAACTTTATTATGTCTGAAACTAGGTTCTTGGAGCCTCCACGGAAACAGTAGTATCTAGGACTAGGTTTCTCAACCTTCACTAGAACATGTACTACTTCTCTGGCATCCAAGACCTTTATTCAGTAAAAGCACTTAAAACTTATTCCACTTACTTACTTACTCATTCCACTTACTTACTTACTTACTTACTTACTCATTCATACTAAAACCTAAACTTTCACCTCTGCCTTATGTGTGAGTGGCTTAACATACTTCAATCCATCCAAAGTCTTTAATTCAGTCCCTGCACTCTGATCTCTCTCTGAAGTATTCAGAGGAACTCCAACACAAAAAAGCTAACTCCTAACTGGTCTTTTTTGACAAGGTCAAAGATGTTGTTCAACCATACTGCTATTAGCTGCAGTGGTCCCTGGGAAAAAATCTAATTATTTCTTTATGCAGAATATGAATTTGTTGTATTTTAGAAATTTGTTATAGAAATACAGTAGAATGGTTTGGGTGAGAAGGGACCTTGAAAGGTCATGTAGGTCAACCCCTCTGCTATGGGCAGTGATGTCTTTCACTAGACTAGGTTGCTCAGGGCCCCGTCCAATCTGACCTTGAATTTAGAGGGATTAGGCATCCACCAATTCCCTATGCAATTCATGCCAGTGTCTCACCACCCATTGTAACTATGTCTTCATTGTATCCATAAATCTATCTACTCTTTCAGTTCAAAAGCATTTCCCCTTGTCCTGTCACTACACACCTTGTTGAAAAGTTGTTGTAAGTGCAAAAAAGTCCTAATAATATTTCTCCAGAGCTGTCTCTTCCCCAGAGTGGACAACCCCAGCTCCCTCAGCCTGACTTCACTTTATTATACATCTGTTAAGCTGTCACAGAGGAAATCATTCTTATTTTGAATGGCCAGAAGTCACTCAATTTCAGGCTTTGGGATTTAGAGGAGCATGATTACTCCTCATCCACTCTACCAGAACCATTCATATCTGTTTTGGAACAGGTTGGGGGACCGGTTGGTCAGATGGAGTGAGAATGGAGAGTTTGACCCCTCTCTTGCCTTGACATTCATGTCTTTTCTTGTCCCTCTTTCTCTCTCAGCTGCTGCCAAGCATGTTTGTGACCCCCTGTGCTCAGACGTAGGCTGCTGGGGCCCAGGGCCCTTCCATTGCTTCTCCTGCAGGTTTTTTGATCGTCAGAAGGAATGTGTGAAACAGTGCAACATCTTGCAAGGGTAAGGTGTCTCAGGGGTGCTTTAGGTTTTGGTGATGATATGCGGGGTTTTGTTTTTAAAATGTGTTGTAAATAGAAAGAAAGCAAGAAACTGGGTCTCTGGTTGCATGGGTTTTCCCCAGCTTTGCAGAGATGTTGCGTGAACACAGTACCTAGCTAAGGTACTTCTCCTTCCCCGTTTAGTATTGCTTAAGAGTTTGCTCCTGACATGGTGATTGCTAAGAAAACATCCTCTTAAGCCCACAAGGAGACTATCTGGAGGCCCAAGGAGGCTAAGCCTTGGGTTTCCTTCCCATAAGAAAGAAAGGAGTTTAAAGCCCAAGCTGTGACTGTCATGTCAAGTACAATGGGTGAGAGCCAGAGCCATTTAGAGTCACTGGGAGCTCAGTCATCCCCAGAGCCAAGGCTTCACTGCTTGGTAGACTTCTTTCCTCTTCTATTTGCTCAGACGAGCAGCTCACCCTCGCAGTTTGGAAAGTTGCAGTCAAGGGAGAATGAACTTTTATCCAAAAATCACTGAGAGCAGCTATTTCAGGCAAAATTATTGCCTCAGCCTCACTCAGGACATGGAAAAATATTGCTGCCTTGTGTGTCAGTTCAACAGGTGATGTAGGTGGAAAAGGCATGTCTAGCAGCAAAATTACAAAGCTTGACTTTTACAGCTCCTGAGTATTAAGCAAGTACTTGTCAGGGTGCTAATGCCTCTGATGTTTGTGTTTCTCCAGTGGCTTGCAGTTTAGCAACTGTCTTTTTTTTTAAAGTGAATTCCTTCTAGCAGCTATTATAACCTGAAGGGGAGATTGGGGCATTTTTTTGTGTCAAATGATGGGTAGATTTAGTTTAATTAATAACACCATTACTTGAAGTGGAACAGCTTTATTGTTATTAAAACCATCTGTTCCCAACCTTCATATTTTAATGATTCATTGTGTGTTGTAGAGAGGACATGAATTTAATTATCAGTGCCTTGCTGTTTAACTTTCCTAATTATTATTTGTAGCCTTGGAATCACTTGAACTGTTTTTGCTGATCTCTTTGCATCACTACCATTTAAAAGCCTCTAGAAATGGTTGTGAGTATTCTGTCCCTTAAAAGGGAAAGTAAAGTAATTTGTAGTGTGCAATCTGGAATGCCATGTGTTTCACTGTCAAACAAATTTCCCTTACTCTTACATCCTCCTGGTTGAACTGAGCAAGTGCTACTGATGTAGCCAAGAGGGTCCCTCTTCCTGTCTCAGTACCATTATCTCAATCTAATGTGTAAAAGTCTGGAAAAGAAGACCACAATTTATCACTTGCTATTATTTCTGAGGTTTAATTATTTATCTCTTTTTGTTGTTGTTTTCCAGGGAGCCAAGAGAATTTGAAAAGGACTCTAAGTGCCTCCCCTGCCACCCTGAGTGCCTGGTGCAAAACTCCACCATGTACAATGCAACCTGCACTGGACCTGTAAGAGCAGATTCATCTTAGCAAACCTGAGCCTCAGATCATGTATTAATATATATTTCCCATGCTCAGATAATCCTGAGGTCTCATTTTTAACCCTATTTGAGGTGAAGTAGAGAATGGGGTGGTTAGAAGTCAAGATCTTGGGGCAGGTGAGCAGGATAGGAAACCTCAGGGTGCTGGTTTTATTTTCTGACATGTAATCCGCTGTCACAGACATTGTAGAGTCTTTAATATTTTTTTGGTTTTTACATTAAAAAAATACTTACTTTGGCAAATATGGTAAGCATTGCAGTAACATGTAACCACTCAACTTCCAAGCTGGTGTCAATACATTAGATCAAAGTCAAATCTTAATTGCAAAAGCCCAATTCTCTCTTTCTTTTTTTAGCGATCAAATCTCCTGCTTTCATCACAGGTCCACCTCTGTGTTATTTAACCCAACTCTTTAAACACCATCAGCCACCTCCATCAACCTCTGAGCGTTTGACCCTTGGCCATTGTTGTGGTTTAGGAATGGTACTCCCCAACTTAGTACTCCCACTGAGACTCTCCAAACCATAGGCCGTCCATTAACTCCATCCCCTCTTTCCCCTGTGGCAGGCTGGAGAGGAGAATTGGAGGCATAAGAGGAGAAAATCATGGGTTGAGATAAGAACAATTTACTAGAAACAGCAATGAGATAAAAAAGGGAAGAGTAACAGCAGCAACATTAATAACAGTGTACAAGAAAGGTGCACACGTAATTGCTCAGAACCAGCATTACCCCATGGTTTCCTCTACCATGCTTGCTCAACCAGAAGGAACCCCTTCTCCCCAGAAGAAACTCCTTCCCCCTGCCCCTGGCAATGACATGAGGGGTACAGAATAACCTCCCAGCCATGCTCCTCCAGGCTACTGCAAAAATTAACCCTGTCCTGTCAAGAACAAGGACACCCATCATCAGTTTGAAGAGTCACTGCTCAAAACTGTGAAGCATTTCCATCCTCCCTCCTAGCACCATCATCTCAAGGATGTTATTTACATTGTAAACTCCCTCAGGCAGTGACCCCCTGTTCCATATTTGCCTAGCACATAGTAATCAGTCTATTATAGTGGCCCTTAGACATTAGAGTGATTAAAATAATCTTCTTATAGTGTGTCTTACTTTTGTCCTACTGCAACCAGCACTGTGGATCTGGTCTGGTTTATCTCCATAGTAGAATTTGACCCACAATTGCTGGTTTCCCTGCTTTAAAATATTTAGGCCATTCATGGTGTTGTTACAGTCTTAATAAAAACAATTCTACCAAATATGGCCAAAGGCAATGCCTTTAAATACAGACTTAGTACTTTTCAAAGTGGAAAAAAGAATGCATGGAATCCTTGGGTTGCCTTCATCATCTTATGCTTCTTCTTAACAGTGGAAAGAACCTGTGCTGAGAAACCAGAAAAATAGTCATTTGATTCCAGTATTTCAGGGTGGTATCAGGAGGTCTATATCCACTATTTTAAATTATGTGACAGAAGATTACACCAGGTAGCAACCAAGCTGTCTGCTTTTCAGCTAACCCCTTATCAAGGTGTCATTAAATGCTTCCCCATTTAAAATGCAAAACACAAGTTTTCCAAACAGACAAGGCAGAGGGGAAAAAAAAGCAACTTTGTAATACAAGAAAATATTAGCTTTAAGCAGCCGGAACTGTCTTTTGTATGGTCCATCCTACAAGAGAAATTACTTGCAGGTAATATCAGGTAACAAGGTAATAAAACCAGACAATGCTGAAAACTTCCAGCAATGGAAGGCATTGAGATTTATCTTCTGAATTTCCTCCTGAATAGGCTGATATAACGGCATTATGAACAAGTTGTTTCTCTCTGCAGGGTCCTGACAACTGCATGAAGTGTGCCCATTTTATAGATGGCCCCCACTGTGTGAAATCCTGCCCAGCAGGGGTTCTGGGTGAGAATGATACCCTCGTCTGGAAATATGCTGATGTGAATAATGTTTGCCAGCTCTGCCATCCCAACTGCACCCGGGGGTGAGTAAAACCTGGGATTGAATGGCAACAGGGAAGAAAAGACACAGAGAAACAGCTTTTCTCGAGCTCTTTCTCTTCCTGATGGTCCCATGTCAAACCACTGAGAAGAACTAGCAGAGAGCAAGAGAGGTCAGGAGGACACAGTTAATGTAAGCAGAGTGTGGCAAACTTTGTAAGTAGGAAAAGGTCAGTGGTACTTTGTTTTTATGCAGAAAGAAAGAAAAAAAATTGTTTAAGGAGTTTGAAACTGGCTTGCTTGATAACTTCAAATGAGAATTGTACAGGACTCACCCACCAGTGACCTTTTTTTCTCACCTGGCTTGTTGCTGTGTCCTCTGGTTTTGAGAGGAACATCAGTGACATCTGGTGGATGCTGAGTTCCCAGGGCCCATTTTGCTCTGCACCTTTCAACTTTCAGGAGGGAAATCCCAGTGAGGTAACAAAGTGATTTTCTTCTTTTTCTTCTTTCCATATGCTAGCATTTGGTCTGAGTTTAAAGCCTTGTGAGTGTGGCTTTTTTACCAGGCATCACAGTAAATCCAATATATACAAGCCATTTTTGTCCTCATTTGGGGACACACTTAAACTGCAACCTGTAACAAGGTGTGAATTGATCTGTTTAACCTACATCACAAGTAATGATGGTCTCCTCTCCTGATTTCCAACCTACAAAAGACATGGGATGCACAGGAAAAGGTTTTATGGTTCAAGAGCTGATTATTGGACTGTGACGCTTTCAGCACAAAAAGCCAGCCCATGTTTGGTGTATTTTCCTTCACAGGCCTCTGCTTTTTACCCTGCAAGTCTTTCTGATCCAAAATCTTTCTATAATATGCCTGTAATAAATGTTGCAAGAGAAGAGTTGTAACATACTCAAATTAGCCATCACATCGTATATTAGCTAATCCAACTGCCAGTGCTCCTTCCTGGAGAAAAGGAGATGAAGGGTAGAACCAGCAAGCAACAAACCTTCCTAGTGCTCATTTGTGAAAGTCAGTGCAATGGTTTTCAGATGGTAGTTACAACAGCATGGTGGATTTGCCACAATTTACAGTGACGCCCTCTGCTTTGCTACAGTCACAGTCAAGGCTTATCAGGGCTTCCCACTGCAAGCCCAAAAAGAAATTTTCTCGGTTTAAAAGGGATTGTAATAAGATTGTTCTTTATTAATGACCTCAGTAGTCCCTACTGATACTAACTGGTTACAGTGGTCCAATATCCTCCTTCTAACTGGCTACATGGAAATGCAGCTTATTAGTGGAGTAGTGTAATGAGTAACCACATCTGAACAAGGCATTTTTTTTCACTGTGCAGCCTCGGTAGTGAGATCAAACACTAGACTTCAATGGCGATTTGGAGAAAATAATTTGCTAGACAGGGATGTAAAACAAGCCACACAGTGGCTCTTAGTGCACAAGGAAGTTCTCCAAGCAGAATTGATCAGAGAAGTCAATTCCTGCCTTTCTTTAGCAGTGGATAGGTGAGCCACAAGAATCAGGCAGGAGATGACATTACAGTAAGGAGACTTTTTAAAATGAGGACTAGCCAATATATGCCTCAGTGTATTTGGCCCTGTGTTATTAAGGCAGAACATAAAAAATAGTATCAATTTCATCTTTCACATGAAAAAGCTGGGCTAAGTTTGCATCAGTTACATTGTGAACATGCTCAATAGCCCAATTCAAGTTGATGCCCAAATGTGATAGATGAAATAGGCTGTATCCCTGAAGGGCTCAAGAGACCTAAAAGGAGGTGATGTTGCAATATTTGCTGTACAGATGGGACATCTGTGGCCATGGATGAGTAGAGAGCCAGTGTCAGGGTTGTAATATGGGAACGTGCAGTCAGGCACAGCATTGTCCTCTGAAGGCAATCCATCAGCAATGTCATTTCTCTTCACGCCTTTCCCTCATTTTGTGGTGGGAATGGATCTGTTCAGCAGTGGGTGGAAAACATCTGTCTCACAAAGCTTTTGCATCCTTAGAAACCACAGTCTCAGCAATTCCTGCATGACAAGAAACAACTTCATTTCTGTCCCTGTCCAATTTCACGGCTAGAGCCCACAAAATCTTATCAGCATGATTAAGTTTGCTGACTTCTGTAGCCATGCAAGAAAGGGTTCCCAGGATCTCTCTGTTTTCCTTATTTGAAGAAGCTTCAAGTAAAAGACTTCTCTTCCCAGCAGAGTTTTGTCACGAATTTCATTTTTTTGCTTTAGGTATGTGTACTGCTCGTACATTGCTTCTTTTGTAATCCCATGAAGAATCCCCTTGAGTCTCATTTTCTTCGCCGAGTCTATTTTTCACTCTTCATTAGGAAATAGAATGAAGGATGCTTTCTCCTGCTTAGCCCAAAAGATCCCTTCTCTCCCAGTTCTCCTGTATTCTCTTCGGGATTTTTTACTCAAGCTTCCTTTTGCCCTGCCTCTAGTACAGCTGAGAATATATGCTACGATAAAGAAAGCAACATCTCAAAAGCCCATGTATACGTTCATCAATTAAAGAAACTCACCATCTTAATTAATCTAGTCAGTGTTGAAGGATTTTATTTTTCCCTTGCCAGTCTCACAGAGTACAGGAAATAAAATCAGACACAGCCACTGAGGTGGATAAGCAAGCAGGAGAAGCCACCACTATAGCCAGTACCACTGGCTGGCACATCCTGCCTCCATCCACAGTTGCTATCAACACTCTGTGTCTCACCAGTCTTCATTTTAAATGCTAAGAGATTTTTGGGGGAGATGAGAAAATGGCCAGGGCATCTGAGAGGGAAGGCTGCAGAAGCACAGCACAAATTCTATGCCTTTGTCACTCTTGGAAAGTTACTTAAAAAGAAATGACAAAGTAAATTTTTTGTAAAGTTTAAAAGTATTTTTAAATGGTTTTCCATTTCTTTTGTGATTGTTAAGTAACTTAGGCTGTTATAGCGTGAGTGCCCTAAAAAGGCCATCAAACATGATACATAATACATGACTGTATTACATCAAATTAGGAACTATGGGTCAAGGAGAAAATTGTTTAAATCTTGATGGATTTAGGAAATAAATAGTTGTGTCTGCACTAGGACAAGTAATATTTATTTAGGTAAAATGTGTAGTTCAGGATAAAGTCGTTTTCAGAAGCTGTACACAGAACTAATTTTCCATTCAGTAGAGAAATGTATCAAAGACTACAACTGCTGTTATATTCATCTCATATATCCTTAAGATCTTGAATTACTTCATAAGGTCACATTTGTCATTTTGGTTGCTGTAAGCAGAAGAAAACTTAATCAGGAATAGAAAACTTGATTATTCAGATTCCATAAAATCTGAGTTACTTATGAAGGGTGTCATCATAAAAATCCACATTAAGAAAGATAGTTATATATAGTCCTGGAGGGATAATTCTTATGGGCTTTGTTTCTTCTCTGACTTGTGAAATTAATCAGAAAAGCAAGTGGGATTTGAAAAGCACAAGCTGATCTCTTTATTTATTCCCAAACATCTTTTCACTTTATCTTACAAGACTTGATATTGATGGATTTGTGTGGGAAGAAGAAGGGCACTGATAAAAATCTACAGTTTTCCTGCCTCTACTTTGATGTGTAAGAGAACTGGTCAGTCATTCCTCAGACTGTAGCTACAATTCCCTCAGCCAGTTTTGTTTGCTGTTAGGAAGCACATAGAGAATTGCCATCTTAAAGTAGCATGGCAAACCAGAATTTTGAGGGAGAGATACTTTGAGGGACAGTAGTCATATTCTGAAATTAGGTGAGGTCTTCCAATTTCACATTCTTATCAAGAGCAGCTGCACATGCCTTGTTGCACTGGAAATTTATATCCGGAAGGTAGACCATGAGGTCTGGAGTCCTAGATCAGTTTTCCATTGAGCACCTGAAGAGAGAAGCCCAAGGCAAGATCTGCCCCCTATGATAATAAGCAAGCTGGTGTCTCTGCCTTGCACATGCAGCCTCTCTGTGCTTAGTTACACAACTGAGCAAACAAAGCAAGTTGTATGCTGGTAGGAAAGCTAACGAGGCTGAGGACCCGGAATCCAGGAATTGGTATGCACAGCACTTCCAGTATGTCCAGGACACCAGGATGCACATTCTTGCATGGGAGTCCAGTGAACTTACAAGACCTTCCAGATGCTGGGTCTTGGAGCACTGTGTTGGCCCAGAAACAAGGCAAATATACAAGGGAAGATCTGAGTAATGAAAACAAACAAACTAACTAAAACCCAGTAAAACAAGTAGTTGTTTCACCTCTTCCTTCCCGAGACCCAGGCCAAGTCACGAGAGAAGATCTGCAACTCTACCTGGCGTTTTTAAATTTTCCTGATTCCTCCTCTCAGTGAGAGGGATTCCAGAGCAGTTTTCCTGGCATAGGCTCACTCATTACCCCCTACTTGACCTCCTCTGGAATTGTTTTGGGATGATCCATTTTCTTTAAATCAGCACAGGGAGCAGATACCACAAACTGGACTTTACTCCTTCCTGTGCTCTGTTTTCCAGAGGTGATGTCACCATCTCAGTAATGCTCTCCTTCCTCAGTAGACACCACAAAGACCACAATTCCCATAAAGAGCATACATCTCATCACCCAGCAGCACTTGGGAAATGGACTGTGCCTCTCACACTCATTAGACCATCAAGTGAACGCAGTCACTGTGGTTTCATCTGTGTTTTTTTTTGCACTGCACTGCCAAAATTTTGGGTATTTTAAAGTCAAATGGAGGGTGAATGACTTGCTAGTAGAGTTCCTGGCTCTCTGGATAACAGTTGTACCTGTTTACATTACCAGTAACATAAGACTGGATTTTAAAGGAGAAATACCATGGACACACGCCAACAAACTGTAGCCCGAGAGAGTGCTATCAAATCCCATTTTTTTATGGAAGTCCATGTATCTGCTACCCAAGTTATCCATTGTAACAGAAAGCCTGGAAATTGAAATCTTTACCTTATCAGGAAACAAGGATTACGCAGGAGCATCTGCAATGACATGTTTCCACATGTATTTCTGTCCATGTAGGAGGAGGAGGCTACTTCTGTCCTCCTCCACAGTCAGTCCTGGGCTCTGCACAGAAACAGAGAATCGATGAATTTTGTGTATCTGTGTCCTCCCCCACTAATACCACATGCTAAAAAGTTGTTTTAAAACATTCTTTAAACTAAGTATGCAGCATAGCTGTTTCTCTCGATAAAAGATGCTGGAGCAAGGTTGTTTACTGATATTTAATGGAGTGTATAACTATTATAAATTCCTCTGTTAACACTTGGACTTCTCTGAAACACAAACTTTCAAATCAGTAGTGCTCTTCTTAGCTGGAATTAGAGAAGTATGTAGGCCAGAGCTACTATGTTTGTAACGTTCATTTGTTTTTACAGGTGCAAAGGGCCAGGTCTTGAAGGCTGTCCAAATGGGTGAGTATTTCATCTGCTACAATTAATGGCAGAGCTGGAAAGAATGTGTGTGTGTGTGTGTGTTTACATTTCTACACTGGACACTGCAAGACTGCGACTAAAGTCTTGAGCTGTTTAGAGGGAAGTGACCAATTAGACCAGGCTCAGACCTATAAAAATAGTTTAAAGAACTGAGAAATAGTGCTACTGGCACAAGACTTCAAAATCTTGTTCTGCCTACAGTTTTTGTAAAGGTGAGACCAGGGATCTGTTACGGAAGAATAAAAAGAGGGGATGGAAAAATAAAAGATTAAGGGCAGAGAAAGATATGTTTAGAACTGATATAGTTACCTGTGTTACAGGAGACTCAGAGATGCAGAGGGTCTTTTCCAGTCCTGTGATCTGTACATCTCCAAATACTGTATGCCCAGAAGGATGTTCATTTGTCATACTCAGACTAGATCTTATATCATACTGTTTGGCTTCATGATGTGCTCCAGAGAGAGGAATTAAGTTTCTGGCCACAAAATCATGCTATGGCAAGATAAATTCAGCCTAGAAGTACTGTTAACAAGTGACTGCATTTAAGAGTAATCCCTGGGGCAACTTAGAAAAATGCTGGGAAGAATCTCTAAGTACAGACCAAAAAAAAACCTTGGAAAACAGGTTTTTCTTTTAAACTTAAATTTACAATTACCCAGGCTCTAATAAAGAGGCATCAATCTGTGTGTACAGTGGGGATGGCACACAATACCTGGCTTCAGACATTTGTATTTGTAAGGAAGACAGATGATCTGTCGTTCACTGTGACCCTTTACAGCATGCCCCCTCCCCCCAATAATGGGGGATGTCAGCTGCATTGCTGGTATGATAAGTGTGTAGGAGAGGTCTTCTCTCCACGTGCTTCATGTCTCTGATCACTCATGGGCTGCCCACAGCTGGCACACACTGGCATCACGGATTTGATGCTCATGTGCTTGGTGAGTTTGTCAGAGGGAGGAGAAATCCCCTTCCTTAAGCGATGAGAATCAGTTCCAATCGTGAATTTGAGGGAAGAATGAAAACCTGTGGTTTAAGCCCAGATGGAAATTAAGCACCACTTTGAACAGATTACTGGATGAGGGACTTAAAAATACATGTGCCCAAGAAATCTGAAATGTCAGATAAGCTTATGTGGGTGTCCAGAGTCTGATCAAAACATAAGGCTTCCTGCAACCTCTGTAGGGCTTATTTAAAACCTAACACCTAAGATTTTTTCCTTCTGTTTCTGCATCCCCTCCTGTGCTGCAGCTCCAAGATCCCCTCCATCGCAGCCGGTGTTGTCGGAGGCCTGCTGTGCCTGGTGGTGGTGGGCCTGGGCATCGGCCTGTACCTGCGCAGACGCCACATCGTCAGGAAGCGCACGCTGCGCCGGCTGCTGCAGGAGAGGGAGGTGAGCACTGCCAGCCCCGCTGCTTCACCTGGGCCAGGGAGTATCCTCCTCCTGGTACCAGAGGATGAAGCACCCTCCACCCGCCTTGGAGCTCGGCAATCCCTTGGGATGGGAAATGCGGCGGCTGCCGCACTGCTCAGGGAAGTAGCGGCACGCACCTAACACCTTCTCAATCTCCAATCTGATCCCTCTGTATATAATTTGCAAAATATTTAAGGGATTTGGATGTCTCAATCCCAAAGAAAGTAACTGAGATAGTCTACTCAGAAGAAAACGACACCTTTGGGTTGAGGTGCAATGTGTTTGCTGACCCAGGCTACCTTCAGCCTCAAATCGTGTCTCTCCAGACAAGCCTTGAGGCTCCTCTGGCACTTTGGGGTGCTTCTGAAAACTCTACCCCCTGGATCAGGTGCGTGCCTGATCCTGTGGAAATAAAGGAGAGGAGGGAAAGGAATTGAGGAAGTGTTTGTGTCTTGTCTTTGGTTTGTTTTTAGCACAAAAAGCCCACAAAGCCATCAAAGTGAATGGTTCACCCTGTGGGGCATGAACAAGGTTTTCTGTTTTTGTTTTTTGCATGGCTTTGTGTGCATTACAGCATCACCCTATGGATACGTCATATACAGCAAAATTCCTAATCCTGAGTGGAAGCTGCTCTTTTGTGGTTAGCCCCCTTCTATTTGTAGTCTGGTTCTAGTAAATGAACCAATTGTTTTAAACATTTTTCTAAAATCCCAGTTGCAGGTTCTTTCCATACTTGCCAGCTTTGCAGAGTCAGTTTCCAATATCCTTAAGAAAAAAAGAAAACATACTGCTGTATCCTGCAGTTGTGGTAGTAGAGTTCAATTTGTGCTCAGCTCCTATTGTACCCTCTGGACTCCTCAAAATGAGGATATTTCATCACAACAGAGAGGCTGCTTGTCCTCTAAAATCAGATTGAATCTAGATAAATATGGTTTTATTTGAAGAAAAAGCAAAAAGAAAAGCACTAAGGAAAAAGCTGACTTATGCATCATAAAACATTAAATATCTTCAGAGGGCATTACTGCTGTTTGCAATAAGGCTGAGATAAAATTTTGAAAAAATCAATAGACAATTCAAATCCTCTTTTTGAGGAAAGAATCACTCTCAGAGTTTCAATTGCTACTTGTACACTACATGGTCTGGGAGAACCACTGGTACCATGGGAATTTTATCCAGTTAAACAAGAGCAGACATGAAAGGTTGCAGGTGATTCTTGCCCATTATTTTAAATAGTTCAATAATTTATTCACAAGTTCAAAACAAAAATAATCTCCTTTAGCATCTGTGGTAATTACATTATTTTTCATGTCATGTTTTTCAAGTCTTTGAAGTCATAGCCTCCATTTGAGAAGAGGTATTCCTTCATTCTCCTTCAAAATGGCAGTTGCCACTCCGTGCTTGATTTTTGTAGCAAGTATTTATTCCTGCAAGTCCAAGCAGAGCTATCCTCCCAAAAACTTCACATGGAATCAAATATTCATTATTTTAAAGGAAGTATTTATTAAAGTATTCCACCTTCCAGACTGTGTAACCTTTGAACATAATCTTCTCTCTGCACTAGCTTGTTGAACCACTGACACCCAGCGGGGAGGCACCAAACCAGGCTCATCTGAGAATTTTAAAGGAAACAGAATTTAAAAAGGTCAAAGTTTTAGGCTCTGGAGCTTTTGGCACTGTTTATAAGGTAAGATCACCGTGTTTCTTTTCCCCTTTTCATCTTGTTCCCTCCCGTGGGAGCCACCCAAAGAAAGCAAGAACTGGGAGCCTCAATCATGTAGACTTTTTTTTAAACTAGATTTTATATCATGTATCTGTCTATTGAAGGGTAGAAAGATTACTCAATCATCATTAATTTTGTTAGAAATTGGGTAACAGGAGAAGGTTTACATTAAATGTTGCCAAAGCCATACTGCTGAACCTGGAGAAGAAAGATCTTGACTTAAAAACTACCACAGTCAAATACACCCCATTGTAAATATTAAGAAGAAAAAGAAATGCGCTTTGATTCGCTCAGTGCAAAGCCATTTTTCTGTCTCATTTGGGATCTTATTTTTATAATTTTCAATCATTCTTTCATTAAAACTGATTCAGATGCGTGGAAGCGTCTACACACCTTCACTTGTGTAGGATCACAAGTTATTTTTTCTCTTGGTGTTTGTTTGTCCTCTGTGCTTCTTCATCAAATTCCACTTTTCTGTGCTCCTCCTTTTATTCAGGATATGTGTTTCTGGCTTTTCCATTAACTATAGGTTCCTATATTTCTTTATAAAGAGGAATCTATATTCTGAATCAGGCTTCCAGCTATGATTAGGAAGTTCAGGGGCACAAAAATATGTGCACCTACACTGCTGGGGATTTCAGCAGCATGTCCTCACAGTGCCACACTGCTGACCTGCCACCCAAATGCTCTCCTGACACTTTAGATGCAGAGCACTGTACCAGTGGGACATAGACTCCCCCACCACTGCATATGTATAGGACTGGATTATTTGTACCGTATAGGTGCCATCTGGTTTTAATGAGAAAATGCTTATTTTTGTCCCACAGGTTATAAATTGGAAGTGGCAAGGTTTTGCACATGCAGTTGCTGTGATGCTCTAATTAGTTATTAGATTTCCATCCACAAAAGTTGCTCTTTGTGGGACACATATTGAGAAAGTAAGAAAATTACAGCCTGAAAAATATTCCAGGCTGGAGCTTCTCAGCTCTGTTCCCAGCTGATAAGCTGGTCCAGCTCAAGGCTAGGGAGAATTTCTCCCAGGGTGATCATTTGGTCAAAATAAAAAGGAATTAATAACAAAGATAGAACACCTGTTTGTGGTGTGTGACCAGGCCCTGGGAATAGGGTGTCTTCTCTCTGAACCAATCACCTTTTCTCTACTCTTGGAGTTGCAGTCATGCTATAAAACCAAGTGTATTTCTGAATAAACTTGTCTCTTTCTTCCTGTCATGAAAGATGACCATGTAGCTGTGCATCTTATTTCCACTGCACTTAAAGGTTTAAAACCCCTTTCCACGGCTACAGCTCTTTATGCATCTCTTGGGCTGTTTACACAGGCATAGTAATGAACATGTTTTTTCAAGAAAGTATGGTAGGGGTGACACCCCATGGACAGAAACTTGGTAATACCCACAAGACACGTTTTTTGATTATTTTTTGTCTGCCATGTCTTTTCATTGCTCAGAATATTTGAATCTACCCAGAAGATCTAAAATATATATATAACTGTGAGAATTAACCTGAATGAGACTGAATAACTCTTTGTACTTCTTTTTGGTAGGGACTTTGGATCCCAGAAGGAGAGAAGGTTAAAATTCCTGTTGCTATTAAAGAGTTGAGAGAGGCTACATCACCAAAAGCCAACAAAGAAATACTTGATGTGAGTTTCTGTGTTTGTTTTCTTGAGTTGTCAGTGGTCTGTGGATTTTCTTCACTAACAACTAGACGGGTTTCAGGATTTTTTTGTGGGAAGAAGTAATTTGCATCCTAAACTCAATTGTCCATCTAGAAGTTCTGCACTTTGCAGCGCAGTCTGTGAAGTGCTTTTGTGTCCCACATTAACCCAATCAAAACACAGATTTTATACTCATGGGGTAGCAGCTAAGGAGTAGTCAGGGCCATGCATTTACAGCCAATTCTTTTTTCTTTATTCTGATATTTCAGGCCTTAAGCTGTAGCATTCATTGTGACTATGGTGGTACAACTAAGCCAAATAACAACAGACCTAATGATTTATGAATCCTGCAGATTGTTATAAGCTAGTTGATTGATTAAATAGAATTAAATTAACTATAAATCCAAAATAAAATATAAAAATCCCAGCTGTCTGATTTCTCTGCCCCAGAATGCAAGAAATTATCTCACCGTCTGAAAGAAGCTTGGGATTTTTATTTTATTGTTTGGATATAGCTCATCCCTTCAGAAAACAGGAGAAATATGGGGCACTGATTTAGGAGTTGATAAATGTTTGAGTTTACAATGAGTAAGCCAGAGTACTAAATACAAGGTTTCCTGAACCTGGAATTGATAAAAATCTTAACTAGATCCAAAGCCATGGAACATGCAGCACTAAGAATGTATAGATTTCTCTACAAGGAAAGGAGAATGCTGAGTGAGGAGAGGAGCACTCAGAAGTTCAGTGTAACTTCAGATTTCCCGTGCTGTAGTTCAGTCTTGAGCAACAAGAAAAGTGTGTTTGTCTGTCTTTCTGTCCTGTCCCTGGTATGTCCCAAATGGACCTGTTTGTCTGGCACTGATGGTGTTGTTAATCAAGCACACAAGTCCTTCAGCCATGGGGAAAACTGGAATTTTTTTTTTTTTATTTTGGTATGGACTGAATTTAGAAGGAATTTTATTTTTCATCCAGTTTTGGCCAGCAAATGACACCTCAGGTAGGAAGGTTCATCTCAGATGGTTGTGGCTGGTGAAGATCTTAACAAAAAAGCCCACCCTTGTAGTGAGAAGTCTCAGGATAAATGTCTGTGAACAAACCACCACTTGTGCTACTGAATATAATAAAGCTCACTGGATTTTTCAAGTCACCCTGAATAAACAGTGTTATTCCAATACATTACTCTGCTTCAACAGATTGTGTGTTATGCACCGTATGATGTGATAGGCATATTGCAGCAGTGCAGAAGAATAGGTCCATCTCCAAATCCATACAGCAGGCAATACCCATTCTGATTTTAGTTTAGTTAGACTTCAAACAAGTCACAGCCCTTCTCCCGGTCGGTCCCTGCTTATGTGGCCCTCATACCTGCTTGTGACCCCTCCCTTCACTGGCATTCCCTGCATTGAAGAACTGGCAGAGATGCTGCTCAGCTGCCTGCCCTGAGATCTGCTCCACATTTTGCTCTTCACAGTGATAAGGAGCATAACACAGTATTCACAAAGGCTTAACTGCATTAAATTCCTAAAAGTATGTATCCTGGAGGAAGGGTTAGTCAACAAGTCTGCAGTACTTCATCCTTCCTTCACCAGATCAAGATCACTGGACAGGGTAGTAGATGCAGAGACTGTGTGCTCTTCAGTGGTATCAAAGTGCTTTCTCTTCTAAAAGAAATTTCTGTAGCAAATCCCCACATTATCTTTTCCTTTCAATTAGGATACTTAACAAAAAGCGCTTGTTTTTTCAATCCTGTTAATTTTTAGATTATTTGGTTGGTGGAACTCTGTATTTCAGAACTAAATTTAAAAACAAAACTAGTGAAAGAAGTCAGAGGGATGACTCCTGAGCACTTCTCAAAACAGATTTTTGCTACATAACCAATTTTCCAAGGTCGCTGGAACCTCAAAGATAATAACAGCTAATTAAGTTGATTTGTCTTACAGAATCACGGTAGGTATAGAACAAGCACAGCAGCTTTAGCTCTTATAATCCAAGCAAGCTCTGGCTGACTTTATTAGGGTAGGGTTAATTCAAAAGGTTGCTGTTAAATACCAAGCATACTTGGAGCAGGTCAGAGGAACCAGAAGAGATTTCCAAGATAATCAGTTGAAACAAAGACCCACTTTAATGTCTTGGGCTACTTAGAGAGACCCACAGCCACACAATAGCTCTGTTCTGCTTTCTGTAAGGAGGAGGCGGTGGCCTATTTTCCTTTGCGGTATCAAATGGAAGAGGCGGTGTCAACACTTGGACACTCTCTGAAAGCTGTGTGGCCCAAACGCCCACCCTGCTCCTGCAGCATCCCAGTGCTCAGCCCCCGAGTCAGCCCTGCGAGGGCTGTGCAGCAGATGGGCAGTGAGAAGAGCTCCTACTCTGCAGTCTTCCCCCTACCCTGCCCTGCCAAAATTAATGCAATATGGATCTGAATCCCAGCAGGGAGCAAGGCATCCTTCATCGTTACAATGGCTCAGTTTGGAAGCATAGGGAAATGAAATTGTTTTGGTCTCTGCTTACATCTGAGTATTGAATAACAAATTTGCAAGAATCTCTAAAAAATGATGCCACAGCTATATATAAACTGAATAGCAGATTGTGTTCCTGCTTTATCTTTCCTTGAGCTAGCCCACACAGTGCTATCCATGGCAGAGGGATGTTTTTTCAATGGTGTGCCCACATCATGCAGTAGGTTGATGAGCTCTTACCAGTTCTGGTGGAGATCCTATTTAACCTGTCTGCCTGAAGGCCATTTTCATCCTGAGGGCTCCAAAACAAGGATACGAAATGCAGAACTAGTACCTCAAAAGAGGCTGCATTACATCATGTTTTGCTTAGGCTGGCACATTAAGCAACAACACAGAGGCCAGAAAGTATTGCTTAAGAATTGGGGTTGCTTATTTCTTGAACGTCATTGACTTAATAACTTTGTTTAATAATAGTTCTCTCCAGCTATGGAGCTATGTGACATCTGTGGAACGCTTGCTAGACGATGAGTGAAGTGCTATGGTATTTATTTTCTTAAGCTCTTAGAAAGAGCAAATTTGCTCTTTCCCTTACACCATTCTTGTCTTCACTATGATTTTAGGCTTTGGGGGACTGCTAGCCTGAATTGCCAAGGGGTGATTCGTAGGTGTTACTCCTGATGCTGAATGAAGATGCTGACCTGCTCACTGAATGGAAAAATTCTCATTCATTTCCCCTTGTGTTGCTTTTCAATCAAATCACGTCTAAAATACCTAATAGTCATATACCGTAAATCAGACACAAAGTTAGTTAAAGAAACCAAACAACTCTAGGTCTGATTTTTTTCCCCACCTGGAATTAATTCTTTGAACTGGCACTTGTGAGTGGATTTGAATATAAATATAGATCTCAAATTTCAATCCATAAGTAGTTTTTGCACACAAAAACCATGAGGTCAGGAATTTTTACCCCATGGCCATGTTAAGGAATGTATTTGAGCCAGCCTCTGAACAGGTCTCTCCCTTCAAAGGGAAATCTTCCCATAGAAGAACAAATGAAGAGGAGGTATCTTGGGTGCATTGATAGATACCTAAAGCTACACAGTGTGTACCCACATTTGAAAAAAGAGTTTTTCACATATTTATGAAACTAAACCCCAAAATTTCAGTTGACCAAAGGTTCTGTAATGCTTGGAGTCCCACATTCCAAGTATCTTCCTAGTATCATTTCCATTGCTATATGAGTCTAAAATAACTTTTCCAATTGAGGGCAGTATTTTCACCATTGTTACTTAAAGACAGGCATTCAAGCTTCTAAAGGGGTAAACTGATTAATAATCTATTTGGTTTGACATGGACCGAAGAACAACATGGTCAAGAAGAACATGGTCTCTTAAAGAATGAGACTCAGTCACATTCTAAACCATAACTTTGACTTTGGTTAGTACCAACCTTGACAGGGGAGCAGAATTCTCAAAAATACTCATTTCTAGTCAGTTTCATTAAAAGGTCTGTGGGGACAAAAACCATATGACACACGTTCACAAAATGTGTTGCCCTTGCAGTTAGGTGCTCAAAATGATGAAATCCCATCAGCTTCCAGTTGATGTTCAGTTTATTAATTCCTCATTGGTCTGTAAGTTTTAAATCTCCCAGGATTTTATGTCCAATGTTTGCTTGGTGTACAGTAGTGAGAGTAGGCTCTTCTATGGCATCTCAGTGATGATTTGGTGTTCAAAATCTGGACATTCCACTAAACAGAAAATAGTCCACAGAGTGGGAAATACGTGTATTTTATATGTGATATGAGACACAGAGTTTGCATATAGTATTTTAGCAACTTCTTGGATGACCAACTTATTTTAAACTGCCTCCAAATATTCATGTCATGCTAAAGGGAGTGTTTCACATTTCTTTTTTCGCCTTTCTTCTCAGGAAGCTTATGTGATGGCTAGTGTTGACAATCCTCATGTGTGTCGCTTGTTGGGAATCTGCCTCACTTCTACTGTTCAGCTCATCACACAGCTGATGCCTTACGGCTGCCTCCTGGATTACATCCGAGAGCACAAGGACAACATCGGCTCTCAGTACCTCCTCAACTGGTGCGTGCAGATTGCAAAGGTAAGCAGACCAGAACTCCAGATCAGCTAAAACTCAGAGATCTGACAGCATGTAATGTGTTTATTTAATTACCAGTCTCTGCAAATCTTTCTGTTTCACCACCTGGATCCTAGGTACCTTATACTTTCCTTAACAATTTACTATTTTTATGTGGATGAGCAAACCTTAACTATTCTTCAAAATGCTCCTAAGTCCACAGAAGGTTATCACCTAGACATTTATGTCCAAACCAAACACATTATCATTGAAATGATGTGATACAAATGTGATGCAGCATGGGCAGCAAGGAAGACAATAGAAAATGTCAATTCCCATAACAAAATGCTGCTTCCATCAGTGGATTTCTTCAGGCTATGTCACAGGACAGTGCTGTTGAATACATCTTCTTGTGTGCCTTGGAGAGTTTTATGCTGAAATCTCTGAGGCCAGGGATGAAAACTGCTGACTACTGAATACCAGGTCCGTCCTTGCTCAGGCTGGCTTTCACCAAAAGGCATTCAGGCAGCCCAGAGCTATTCTGTAATTCATAGATGCTGAGCTGGGTCTGTAATGTAACTGCATGGCCATAAAAGGCTCATTATCACACCTGATACTGTTTGCAAAGAGGAGCAAAGGAATTGCAATACAGCCTCTAGCCCTTAGCAGCAATATGCTATGTTTGGATGCTGGTTAGCCATTTGGAAGAGTGGAAGAATGAAGCAAAACCAGCAAAAAAAACCCTGCAATTTGTTGGAGATTCATCATATGAGATGGCAGTGTCCACACAGCATGGTTGCTTTAATGCTGTTTATTTCAGGAATGCCTGTCTGCAGGAAAACCACACACTTAAAAATTTATCAGTCCCTTGAGGCCTTGTATACATCCCAGGCTTGCCCAGCCATGGTTTGCTGTCAGGAAATATACTGAGGACCACAGTAATGTATCCACCAAATGTCTATAGAGCATATTTTTCATCTCAGTGTGTACACTTTTTTTACACTGCACTTCACAACAAATGAAATCTCATTTATGTGTCCACCTGGGATGCGAGTTGCATTTTTTTGTGACTTTTTGTGACTCTTTTGCTTTCTTGTTTAAAATCAGTTACTGCTCTGTCCTGGTTTCAGTCTCTTTGGAGGATGAGCTGGAGGCCGTATTTCCCTCCTCCTCCTTCTTCTCTTTGTTAGTTTTTAAGGTGGCAAAATGTAACCCCAAATGGGTCCTTGGGGCATTTCTTCCCCAAAAGGCTGCCATTCACAATTGTTTGCTTTTGTTTGATTTTTTCATGGTTCAGCATTTGCCCATAGCAACTTCTACCCTTGCCAGCGATGCCTGACCTTCAACATACTCCTTTGTGCTGCTCCACACTGAAGTTTTCCTCTAAGCACACATAAATCTTATGTACAGCTTTTTCCCACCAATGTGTCTGGGACTACTCTGATGAAGTTATGCCAGATTTTTGAAGATTCTTTGACTCTTTAAAAATTTATTTATGAGTGGAAAAAAAAATTGAAGCAAACACATGTCTGGTAACTAACCAGCAGGAGGCAAGTTCCCTAGGAAGCTTATTTTTGTTACTGTTTTCACAGCTTTGAAATAAGTTTTCTTTGCATCTTTTACAAAATTTGCTTTTCCTGAAGTATGGAGTCCTCTCTTCCAGGCAAGGTGTTATGACAGAGTATAAACGCTCCATGTGCAGAAACACTGTGAACAAACTCTTTGAACACAATGGTCTCATGCTTAGTGATGAAAAATGGATTGAACTCCAGGCCTGCACGCAATTAAAGATCTGCTGAACTTTCTAAATGGGCAATTCAACGTCTTCAAATTATGGTTATACACGTGCATGAGTCTTCAGACATCAGCACCTTAAACAGCTTAGTGTGACACTGATATTCTGCCTTTCAGCAGCTCTGAGTCTTATTAGCCTCTGCAGCAAGTCAGTTTTAGCAGGAAATTTTTTTGTCCTACTGGGGCTAGATTACAGAATTATTATTTTTTTAAAAATAGTCTGTTTTCTGTCAGCAGCTCAGAAGTTTTTGTTTCAAGAGCTCTGCTTGCTAAAGATCTGTTTGTGTGATTCAGTGCATGCTTGTAGTGGCATTGTGCCAGTTTGTTTGGGTGGTTTGTTTTGGCAACATTAGCAGTGCATGGGTAAAGTTCTGCTGAGGGACTTGGAAGGAGGATTCGATGGTGGTCCATCTTAGAAGTGGGCTTAGGAAGTGGGTGGAGGATGGAAGCTAATTATTCCCACCAGTCCTCTACCATCACATCAACATGATCATTTTTGTGCCAACTTTGTAGGTTAAAAGTAATTTTTTATCAATTCTCTTCATAAAAATACAAGTGCATAAGCTACCACCAGCAGAAATGTATGGACTGGGAATAATAGTGAGTTTTGGAAAAGATATTGCAGGAAACTTGGAAATCATGAACTTTTTGATTCCATATACCAAGAGATTGGTGTTGAGGGAAAGGGGAGTAATCTCTTCAGTCAGAAACACAGCTGTTAAATTTATGCTTTAGCAGTCAAACCAGCACAATTCGTTATATTCTTCCTTGAGAGGCAATCATACCAAAAAACAAGTTTGCTATGGCGAATCCAGCCTAATCATGGGAGGCAGTGAAACTGGAAGAACTTGCCTTTTTCAAAGAGGAGTGGAAAATGAATGCAACTCTGAGTGCAGACTTAAAATTAATTTTTTTATTCCCCCCCCATTTTTACCTTTGCGATGGACTGCCTCATTGTTAGCAGGAAGAAGGCAGAGTACACTGCCTGTAATAAAACACAGTATGAGCAACTTTGAATGATTGTCTAAATACTCTCTGTAGGGTTGGTGTATGTACATAATGGCAGGGGATAGTTAAACTCTGTACTGTGCTCTCCTGAAGTCACTGTCTTTGCACAAGTGCAGCTGAAAGAAGACTTTGTCCCTTTATTTGCAAGTTCCATCCTAATTTTGTATTTCTTGAACTAAGTCCCAAAAGAGCCACATCTCCTTCTACTATCTACCCACTACTGCCTCTTCTTCCTTCATCACTCCACCAGTGCCTGGACCCACAAGAAGGCTCCTGGAGGATGACAGTAATAGTGCAAGCACTCATCCTCACCCTGCAATGAGCATCACATAAATGGAGAGTGCAGGTGGAATAACATACCACGTGTTTATGGTGTTGTCTGTAGTTACCACAAAGCAACTGAGGTTTGGTGATTTGTGTGTCTGAGCACCAAGTGCACAAGGCCTTACCAACAGTGTGTTCCATTGCAGGGAATGAACTATCTGGAGGAACGGCGCCTGGTGCACCGTGACCTTGCTGCCAGGAACGTCCTTGTTAAGACTCCTCAACACGTGAAAATCACAGACTTTGGGCTGGCAAAGCTGCTCGGTGCAGATGAGAAGGAATATCATGCAGAGGGAGGCAAGGTAAAGCACACTGCAGAATGAACTACTGCACATTTGCTGGTGTTTGTGCTTGAACACTAGCCTCAAACAAAGGGGGGAAAAACGATAGTGTGTTTGTCAAAGCTCTCAGCTGCCATCTCAGTGTGCTGCCTTTGAAGCCTGTGGAAGTCCTCTGAAATCAGCCAAAGCAGCATCAGACCAGTGGGTCTGCAGTGGGACCAGAGGTAGCAGAGCAGCAAATGCTTTTGAAATTCCCGCCCAGGATGTCTGGGAAAATTCATCAGTGTAGCCAACACCAGTAAGACTGTGCAGTCTCTAAAGAGAAAGGGAATGCTGTGCATTTAAAGCAGAAGAAAGACCTGTCAGACTTGGTTCAACAGGCCTTCATGTTGTACTGTGTGCTGATGAAGGGAATGTGTCCTGCTGAGAAATTAAAGAGAAGCTGCCTGCAAATATTGCAGAGGCTATAAATAGAAACCATACGAGTGTAGATCAGTCGTGTAACCTAAGATTGGATTTGTGTCCTGTTCTGATAGAAGGCTAAAAAGTAGTTATTTGACTGTTAAAAATATTGTAAAAGTGTTCAGTAAGAGATATTTCTGATATACCTAGTATTCCACACGTTTCCAGGTTCTTCATAATATATGAAAATAATAAAGGGGAACTCAAAAGTTGCCTGTTTTACCATTCAGGTAGTTGGTTGGCTGGTTTTGGTTTTTCCTTCTGCAACCAAATTATTGATTTACACACCACCTGGTGGTAAATATCCTGATAAATTTTGGGTCAACCTCTTAAGGATTCTTTGTGAATTTTCCCAGGTTCCTATTAAATGGATGGCATTGGAATCAATTTTACACCGGATTTACACTCATCAAAGTGATGTCTGGAGTTATGGTGAGTTTAAAAGCAGTTAGAATTATTGCAGATGGGTTGGAAAATTTCAGGATTTGCTGGTGACTCTATAGTGGCCTTTTTACTTTGTATTGTGAGAAGAACAAGAGATCAAATATATAAACACTGTCCCCAAATCACCCATTCAACAAAGTAAAATCTCCATGAAACTGCATGTGAGTGAGGTGTAAGATATTTCACAGAATATGCTTTGGGTAATGAGCCTTCCCCTGAAAGGGGCTACAAGTAGGAGACTGATCTATTTGCTGAAGTTTTGTTGAAGTTTTTCTTCAGCAGCTTCACGTGAAATATAATGGAGCTGGCAATAAAGCCACGTAAGTTGGAGGACTTACAAGTACTGGCCACACTATCAGTCGGTGTCAATCAGTGTAACTCTGCTGAGGCCTAAAATGCCTATGCTGTCCTGGTATAATGTTGACTGTGGTAGTGGCTGGAGACAGACAACACATCTCTCTGTGACCTATGTAACGAGAGCTCCTTCATTGTTCTGTATCCTCCTTAAATAGGGGGTTTGAATTTCTTGGGCATACACATGTGATTGGTCATGGTCTCAAGTCACTCATTTATATGGCCGATAATACATCTGCACTTAGGGTTAAATGGATTGGCTGGGATTCTTGTATTTTTTTAAATCTGTCTTATCATCACTTACTCAGGTACTTGTCATCTCTAGGCTGGTTGAGTTTTAGGTTACAGCTTTTAGACCAGCTGCAATGTGACATCCTGGTATGTGGTTACTGTGCTGCAAAGAGAGAGAAAGGACAGCAACACACACAGACCTCTTTGGGGAAAAAGGCCAACTTTATTGTATGGACAACCTGTATTTAAAGCGTGTTACGTGCAGCTAGGACAGGACAGGAACTCATTGGACAATTGGGAAAAACATCCATGGGACAGTACCTCAGGATGCATCCCACGGGAAAGACACCAGGTGTTAATCTTCATTATGAATTCCACTCTGTTTTTCACCATATTATCACCCTGGGAGACTTCCTCCCTAACTGAAGCTGTAGTCAGCTTGTCAGCCTGGAAATGAACCTGAAAATAAAAAAAAATCCAGGCCTAAAAAGAATTTCCAAGCTGTAATTCCCTAACTCTCTAAATGTGTGTGTCCACACTGGTATTGAAAGGACAATGCAAAAAGGGAAGCAGTGTGATAATCTCCTTAGAGAATTTATTTTGTATTTGGTATAGTTCATAAAGCTAGCTTGAAAGAAAGGAGCAGAAAGGAAACTTTTCAAAGCAACCTATTGCAAAATTTCCCTCCCATGGGCTCTTATATTCCTGGAAAATATTTAATGCAGATGGTCAGATCCTATGTCCTTTTCGAAACAGTACAGCCTCTGGTCTTCTTAATCCATTTATGTATCTTGGCATCCAAAATCTTGTTTTGTATCCTAAGCTACTAGACAATCACAACAGCTCCATCACAAGAGTCCATGGTATGTCAGCAAATGACGCTTAGGCAGCTGGTTTACACGTCTTTCAAAAAGTGCTTTTGCTCATCTCCAGAGAGATTGTTTTCAAACAAAAAGACAACTTCCATTTTTAAAACCACTTGCTGTGTTGGAGTTGGGAGACGGTAACCTGTATCTCCTTTCTGTGAGGCTGGGAAGTTTGTGGAATGTTCAACACTAATTTATTAGCTGAGATTTAAAAAAAAAAAAAAAAAGGAAAAAAGCAAAACCTTAAATGGAAGCAGGATGATTTCAATCTGTTATATTAATCTCTCTATAAAATCATGGCAGAAAATGCTTTCTCTGGTTGGGGTTCTGGCAGAACAGTGTTTCCAGGGGACCTCTCTCTGCTCGCCACCTCTCCACATCCAGGCTGAGCAGTCCAGCTCTTGGCAGTCTCTTTCATGATCTTCTCTTCCCACCCTGCAGGTGTGACAGTTTGGGAGCTGATGACGTTTGGGTCCAAGCCATATGAAGGGATCCCTGCCAGTGAGATCTCCTCTGTCCTGGAGAAGGGCGAGCGTTTGCCACAGCCCCCCATCTGTACCATCGACGTGTACATGATCATGGTCAAATGTGAGTTCACACTTGGGGTTGTGGCTGCTCATCTAAGTTGAATAAGTAACTTAGTTGCATTTTATGCTGCGTTCCTGGTAATGGCACAGAAATAGGGCTGTGTGAAAAGAGTTACACCAGAGGTAAGGTGACACCAGCATGTATTCCCACATCTTGAGCTTTACCTAGGAGCACAGGATGTGGTTTCATGAGTCACTCATTCAACCAACTGATGTTTTTTTTCACCATTCACCACCGACTGATACTGTCAATTATTTTAAACCGATATGGTCAGGCAGTATAAATTAGCATGACACCAACCACTTTGCCTGCTACTCTGGTTTTGTATGTCAAGGAAATAAAAACAACACTACCTTCTCCTCCAAGCTCCCCCTCGGATCAACAACGTGTTTTCTACTGCAAGCACACAGATGGATTATTACTAAAGGAGTGTCAGGAGTGTGGGCACCATCATAATGTCAGAGACACATGAGGGTACAGAATTCCTTTTCAAATTTCTTCTTCATTTTTGGCTGGTCCCTTTATCACATGCAGCTGTTGCAGTATAGTAGCTCAAGAGCAGAGGGTTTCTGAAGCACTTTTTGGACAGTTTAGGACACATCAAAGGGCTTCTGAACCTCAACCCCCCCCTTCCATCTACATCATCTACTAAATGTCAGATTCCTGGCTTCCTGCACATCTCTAGGCCATGACTACCACATCCCTGCTCACTGCTGTGAGGATGTGATAAGCAGCCCACTAGGTGGCATTTAAGACCTTCTCACTGTAGCAACATGTACCTGTTCCAGAAACAGGAGCCATGCTGCCATGAACACTCTGTAATGCAGCACTTTGGGGAATCCTAGAACATCCACATATTGCTGTGGTGGGACAAGCACCACACAAGGTGAGCCTGATCCTGTGCCCTGCAGGGCAACAGGAACTGCATCCAGAAGTGTGCACTTAGCCTGGGAGGTGCCTAGACCTCAAAACAATGTCCTATAAACTCCTTCTCAGAGATTCTGAGCCCTACTGACACCCCAGCCCCTGTTTTTCCTTAGGGTCAATCCAGATGTAAAAAGGAGGCGTTTTGTCAGGCACCTAATCTGGTATCCATTGCTTTTAAAACACAGCCAATGGAGTGTCCCCATCCTTTCCGTGCCATTGCACTGAATTTAAATGCAGGAGTCTGAGGATCTGGGAGCTTAGCCTTCCTGCTGGCACAGGACTCAGTTGCACATCTTTTGCTGCTCTGGTCACCTCATGTTTGCAGGCTACAGTGCAAACCCCATTGAAGGTGTTCCATTTTATCTAAAGGAATTCAGGATTCCCAGTCACCTCTTTTATAATCAGAAAGTATAAGCTGAAATGTTCAAAGTTATTGCAAAATAATTATTTACATTTAAAAACTAGCATTTAAATATAGGCAACTTAGAGGTAAAGTCAGGAACAGTAGATTCTACTCCTGCAAGAACAGCAAAACTCCCAAACACTCCATTTTGTGTAATAGCAAGAAGTATTTATTTTTTAATTAGTAGTGAATCATATTTCTAGCATAGTAAAAAGTCACTGGAAATGAGATTTTGTCTAATGCAGATGTCTTTGTCTAATGCGGATTTCAGAATATATATTACCACTTCATTTTCCCATTAATACAGATAGGCTGTTTCTTCTAAGCTCCTCTAGACATACTAAGCTTGACCTTTATTATTTTTAATTTTAAACACAAGAGCCTCTAGATCAGCTCATCTGTTAGTTGATTAAAGAAAATATGGGTTTCCTAACTAATATCACATGTAAAACCTCCAGCATCTATATTTGAAATCTCTTCTAGCATTGATCCAAACTAAGCTGTAAGGACTTACTTTTGTTGAAATCAGTTTACTAATTAAATACAGCTTAGTTGCAGTAATCTGTCAATATGTCTCCAGTGAGGATGTTTTGAATTTTAGAAGACATCTGGTACAGAGGGAGGCTTCTGCTGTCGGCTTCCCAGGACTTCATGAAGCAGTCCAGTGACTGTCAGACGGCCACATCCTGGTACCTCTGCAGGCACCCACTGGTGTCAGTTTGCTTCCTCTCCTTCAAGAGCTTTTTTCAAAGCAAACTAACTGGGATTATCCCTCAGGTGGGACCTGCCTGCCCACGTGGAGATAGGCCAGTAGGAGAGGAGACAGACTCAGCCATGAAGCTTTTCCAACATGGAGTTTATTTCTGTCTTCCAAAACTGCCAAGATCTGCATTTTAAATGCTGAAATTCACACCCATGGCTGGTGAATTAACTTTTCATGGTGGTCCCTCAGGGGAAGCTCCTTTCTTTGTTTCACACATGGCACTGCGTTTTTGCTGTTATATTTTATTTTAAGCTCTGTGTTTGATCACCAAAACAGTGTTGTTTGTGCATTGCTTTTCCTGCAGGCTGGATGATCGATGCAGACAGCCGTCCCAAGTTTCGTGAGCTGATAGCTGAATTCTCAAAAATGGCCCGTGATCCTCCACGCTACCTTGTTATACAGGTACTAACCACAGTGGTGGGAAGACATCTGATGGGCATTTCATCTGGGGCCCAAAGTAACTAGTAATGCATATGAGAACATATGATATGGATAACTGAAGGCCAGATTTATTGTTGCTTTCCAGGTTTTAACACATCAGCTAGAGCCACAAACAAAACATAAAATCTATTTTCTTAGTACTGGTCTCAGTCTAGGACCAGAAACAGTCCATACTGTAGCCATTAGAGTAGAACTGAGTTTAATCCTCTTCAAAATGCAATTATTTTACAGCAGCATGGACTGAGATGAGATGGCAGGCCTAAGTTCCTCTAAATTCTAGATAAATTTGGTTAAATATGTAAATGTCTGTATGGGCCGTTTACTTAAGCATTGGACTTGCCTTGTGTGTCCCTTCCAACTCAGAATATTCTGTGAATCTTAATCAAGACTTTGCATCTTGTGCCTCTTGTTAAATTACCTTGTCTCAGAGAGGAGAGGAGAATGAGGGCTTGAAAGGAGTCTGCAAGTCTTGTCTCATGCTGGCGTTTTTTAACAGGGAGATGATAGAATGCACCTGCCCAGCCCTACGGACTCCAAGTTTTATCGCACCCTGATGGAGGAGGAGGACATGGAAGATATTGTGGATGCAGATGAGTACCTTGTGCCACACCAGGGCTTTTTCAACAGCCCTTCAACATCTCGCACTCCTCTCCTGAGTTCATTGGTATGAAAATTTTCCACTGTGGAAACATGACATGAAATTTTAAGAGTGAACTGCTTCTCATAATGTCTGTATTTTCTTTCTCTGTCTTTTAAGAGTGCTACCAGCAATAACTCTGCTACAACCTGCATTGACAGGAATGGGGTAAGTAGAATGACCTTTAATAAAGGAGTAACTTCTCCTATGTGGATCAGCTTCTACAAATCAGTCCATTTAATATTTTCTCTACTTTCATCCCAGCAGGGGCACCCTGTGCGGGTAGACAGCTTTGTCCAGAGGTATAGCTCAGACCCAACAGGTGCTTTCTTGGAGGACAGCATAGATGACAGCTTCCTACCAGCCCCAGGTGAGTACCTCTCCTGTTTTTCCATCCCATGGCCACTCATTCACAAGCCATTTTTTTGCAAATATAATAATTTGCCTTCCTTTTCTGTAGAAATGAAGCAATTAAAATGCTTTCTACCCTTTTGGGTTTTGACTCAGTAAATGGGAGTGGAAATGCATGCACATACCATTTTCCTACCCTTTATCTGTCTGCTTCTGACCATTTTTCACTTCAATTCCCTCATGAACCATATTACTTATGTTAGCCATGTATGCCATCTAGGTAGGGAGTTTTCATGTGTGGTTATATGTTTAAAACTTTCTACTTGAGAAAATAGCCTCAAAAAATTTGGGTTCATTTTTTTTACCATTTCAATAGTATAAAGAGCTTTATGGCTGTTTCATTGCTTTCAGAAATTAATCCACAGAAGGCAGTTCATGGTTTCACATGGACTTTCAGTGTAGGCGGTCAGAGAGAAAGCCAGTGAGCTCTGAGGGAGACTGAGCTGGATAATGCAGTGATGATGCTTTGTGTCCTTAAAATATCCCAACCAACCGTTCCAAGAATATGCCATAGCTAAAAAGGGTGAAAGGCCCTGCAAGGAATAGCATTGACGTGAAATGTGGAGTCACTGTTATTGCCAGTCCTGTATTTTTTAGGCATTTTCCTCATCTCCAAACATTTTTTCCAGGGAAACAGCTTCTGGCAGCTAACCTCCCAAACTGCCATTTCAGAACACTATCTGGGACACAGCCACCCATGCGCCACTAAAATTAGCAGTAGCTATCTCACTGTCTCATGGTCCAAGCCATCTTTCTGCTGGTTGGCAAACAAAATTTTTGAAGGTGAACCTTAGGGCAGCATGTTTGGTGCTCCAGAGTGGCAGTCCCTGCCTTTGGCTCTTTTGCACTCTGGGAAGTTCAGAGATGTGCCATGTGCAAAGAGCAAGTGGCAACTGGGTCGAAACTAAATGTCAAATGACACAAATGGCTGCATTAATTTTATATCTTCCTTTGCATTCCTTCTCATTTTTATTTTCTTGTTATTCTAGAGTATGTAAACCAATTGGCGCCCAAAAAAGCATCTGCCTCAGCAGTCCAGAATCCAATCTACAACAACTTCTCTCTCACAGCAAACTCAAAGGTCCCCACAGACTCCAGCTACCAGAATTCACACAGCACAGCTGTGGACAACCCCGAGTATCTCAACACCAACCAGTCTCCCCTGGCCAAGACAGTCTTTGAGAGCTCTCCCTACTGGATCCAGGCAGGCAACCACCAAATAAACCTGGACAATCCTGACTACCAGCAGGACTTCTTACCGAAGGAAACCAAACCTAACGGTCTCCTGAAAGTTCCCGCAGCAGAAAACCCAGAGTACTTGAGGGTAGCGGCACCAAAAAGTGAATACATTGAAGCCTCAGCATGACCATAGGGAATTTCTTCTTGCAGCAAGGCAAGCTGGATAAGTGAACTGTTGGCTGCTGCAAGAGTGGACTCTGGCTCAGAGCAAATGGCAACCACAATGCATCAAAAAGCACCTCTGCTTTTCAGCGTGGGGCTTTGAAACTGCAAAGCCTGTCTGATGGTAGTTTGGGTCTTTCCTTTCCCGTTTCCATGTAATAACTGAGGCCCATATCCTGTGCTCAGATGCATGTTGGGATGGAGCAGGATCTTCCTGGACTGAAGAAATATGGATGCATTCCTTTCATTTTCAAATGGTAGCATGGTATAAAGCCACTCTGGGATGAACTTGAGAGCTGTACACATTGTACAGCCAAATTCCTTTATACATTCTGTATTTTTATAAATGTTTCTAACAGAATTTTTGGATCTTTTACAAGATCAGATGCTTGTACTGCTCGTCTGCTAAGTGTTGCTCAGATCACCAGCAGGAAAAAGAATTATGTTCCAAATCTCCTGGAACTGAAGCTGTTATTCCAAACCACCAGATTTTTACAAATTGGCTCCATGTACTGCCTTTTGGCCCAAAGGTGAGAAGTGTATCTGAGGGATGTATGGGCAATTCTGCTCAGGGCAGTATGGAGAGGATTGGTCTGAGGAAAACTAGCACAAGGAGCAAAATGGCACAATGCATCACTTGCTGACCACTACTGCTACAAACTGACAAGAGGAACAGGCCTCCAAGTCACCTATACATGATTATAAAGTGTTCACTAGTCTGTTTTCTGATGGTCAAACCCAAGACTTTTTTTTGTTCTGATCCCTTATGCAGCTGTCAAGTTGTCAAAATGCCTTTCTTCTTCAACAAAACTGTTAAAGATGTTGCCGTAACTGAAAAATGAAGTGTCAGATAATGTTTAACAGACTTTGATTAAATGCCAAGGAAATGCAAATAGGGGCAATTTGGAGCACTCATGAGACAGACTGGAAGAACTCCACTAAATTAAACTTGACTAAGGCAAGAAACACAGGTAGCTCTAGCTGAGCAGCTTTATTTCCCTTTCTAAAGGGGCTCAAAGCAGAAATAATTTTCCCTTATACATTTGGCAAAGAAAAGGGGTATCCAAGTAGTACACCTCACTGACTTCAAGGCAAAATACTGCCAATTGTCCCATGCTGGGGCAGAGGCTGGGGCTGGTTACATGTCCTTTTGGGGTTACTACTGGCAATGCAGGAGTAGCAGTGAGAAATAATCTCCCTCTTCTGAAGCACAGGGTTGCCTACTGCTTCTTTGAAATCAGCAGCATCATCTTCTGGTTGTTAGTGTGGTATAGGCAGGCAAGGCAAGACTAAGATTTTGGCTTGATAATATAAATCAGTCACAGCAGCAAAGGCAGCTACTCTTTCCAGTGACCCATAAAATTATTCCATCACTAACGTTTCTTATGAATGTAGGAGGAGTAAAGTGCCTAAAGTATGAATTTAGTCAGTCCTTTAGATGCATCCCACCAGCAGTTTTGCAGTGCTATTTTAATCAAACCACTAGGCCAGAAGGCAAATTCTCATTTGTGGACAAAGGCTCTTAACTAGTTGAATGTTGGCAACTTGCTTGAGGGTAGCAAAGGCAGCTGACTTGGAGAGGATCTTTATTCTTAATATAAAGTAGCAAGATAGAGTCAGATTTACGCTGCTGCTGTGTTTTGAATACATCATTATGTGTTTCAGTTTAAGTATTGGATCTGAAGGCCAGGATCAAGCAGCAAATCCTTAGAACACTGTTTGTACAAGTTTACTGAGGAAAGGGGACCTTCAGTCATGTGAAAGGAGTCCTTTTTCAAGTAACGTGTACAGCTCATGGATCCCACTACAGTAGAGGGTGAAGTGGCATGTTGGGTCAGAATCCAGAGATTGTTCTGTTTAGTAGATGTGTCTCACCATGACCAAGTCCCAGACACAGTAGTGTGGAAGATGCAATGTTTGACTTGGATTATCAGTGGTTTGTATTTAAAACAGTAACCAAAATTCAGTTCCCACAACCAATTAGTGGCAGATTTCTCCTTGCATTCCTGGGAGCAGATTTGTTGTGTTGCCCTCACAAGTGTGCAACATGTGCGCACAGGCAGCGCTGCTTTTCCCCCTCCCACCGCCCTGGCAGAAATGTACATAAAACTATAAAAAGATCTTAACAGAATTCATAGATAATTTTTCAATTTGCTGAATCTGTTATGTCTAAAAGCAGAACACTAGAAAATCACATAGTGCATATTCTCCCACAGAATCTTTCCAACACTACTGCACAAAGGAATTTACTGATTTTAATCTGTTCAATCTTTTAGCTAAAACAAGAAAGCCACTGAGAAATAGCCATGTATATCACCAGCATTATGTAGCATGCATAGAGATTAACACTTGCCCATTTTAAACAATTCAGGAGGGATTCAGTAGCAATTCATTGGTAGAAACAAGGAGATTCATCTAAAACTTAAGCAATCTAAGTTTGAGAGAGCATCTCTCTTTGAATGTGATGTATTTGATGAAAAAAGTATATGAAAGAGGATGTAGGACCACAAAATATTGATATGAATGTAGATTCCAGATTGGTGGGATCAACTGTATATTGTGAAGTATTTCTAGTAAATAGGCATCCTGTAAGCCATGATTTGTAAGTTAGCAGCTCAGTGATGATTCAAAAGCCAGCAAAAAATAAAAAAACTAGGTAGTGCCTGCAGGGGCAGATGCAGTGGCACTGAGAGCAGATGGGACTGTGCAGTGACTGGCTGTGGCTGGAAGCACAGGTGCTACATAGGGTGATACTCGCAGGGTAACAGACAACAGCAATATACCAAATCATTTCCGCCAGGGTAAAAAAACAAAAAAAAAAAGAGAAAAAAACCTCAAAAAAACCCCAAACAAACAAGCAGCAGAAATGCCCTGGCTTTCCCATTGCAGCTCACTGCACATTAAATAGCAAGGAGACCCCTTGAGCAGATTGTAGCTACTCTTCCCTGGGGGAACGTAGTTACGGTTACAACAACGTCACAGGACCCCAAACTTGCTTGTCTCAACAAGCTTGAAGAAGTCCCATCACAAGGTACCTTGGGTGTTCTTGGTCTGTCAGCAGGTACTCCAGGCTGCCAGGAAGAAACTTTGCATTTCCAGGCAAGTGCTCATTTTCACATTCAGGGTTGAACATTTTCTGTTAGTTTGACCACTGCCTCTCAAATGAGCAGTTATGGTACTCTGGCCATAGTTTCCCCCGCAGTTTCTCTATGAGAAAATACTTGAATCAGGACAAACAATGAAAATGTACCTGTGTCCTCCTTCTTGGTGGAAACTGTATACTTGTAAAATGTCAGACTCTGTGTATAACACTTAACAAAAGTGCTTTGTAATGTTTTATCACCACTGGTTCAAATTTTTATATTGGGATCCCATTTTCTAGCTTTCTTCTTATAAGTGTTCCCTCTTTGTTCTGACATACAATTTTCAAGGACCTTTTTTAAATAATAAACAAAATAATAGAAAAAAAAAGTTTATACAAAAGAAAAACTTGACACCTTCAAGTAGCTTGTCAAATGGGCTGCATTAGGACCAAAGATGTAACGTCTTGTTTTCTTGCTTTAAAGGAATAAGGTATTGATCACCACTTCCACAGCCTCTTTTTATAGAGAAGAGCTACAGAGCTCCACCTTTCATCGGGCCAGGGTCACACCTCCACTGAGCCAAGTGAGCTTGGCAGGAGGATGAAAACCAAACTGAATATCAGGACCATGTATCACTTCATCAGGGCCAAACCTACAACTTCTACTCTGTATTGCACTTAATGTAGTATCTAAACAGAGACACAGCCAAGAAAAAAAAAAAGCAAATACATGATATTTTGGCTCAGTATCAGGAAAAAATATAATCATGTGAAGATGAGACATGATGAAATAACTTTTTTGTGTGAGGAAGTGTATAGGCAGGCAGTGAGACTTTAAAACAGTAACACTTTTGGTTATGTATTACTTCAATTATGCAGGGGAGTTGAAATCACAGAGCTTCCATGATATGCTTTGCTTTCTGCCATGTCTCCTGCCTGTGTTTGATATCTGGTAGATCACCATGTCTATTACCATGGCTGTGTGGACTGAGAATTGTTGGTTGGTGCAACCCCTTCTTTTTATGCCGGGAGAGAAAAGTGCGTAGTTGGCGGTACCACAGTCAGTGGTCAAGTTAAGCCCTTAACAGCATCCAAAAATGGGTTTCCCAGGGGAAAAAATTGGTAACTGAAGACCTACCTGGAAAAAGACACGGCACTTGTTGCACTGAATAAGTCAGCAGTCAGAAGGCTGAACACCTTCAGCCAGGATTTGGGGCTGGTGCTTCATCAACTTTGCTGTCATCCTCTAACATGGTACAGATGGGGCTGTCTGGATGTGCAGCAGCACAGGTCCTGTGGTCTCTTTCTATCTCTCACTTTGAAATAATGGATTTTTTTGATTAATAAGGTGAAAACCAGAAATCAAAAATGCCTCTAACAACTGGACTGGTAGAAGGTGCTCCTACACAGCCAATACAGTATATCATTTCCAGTCAGGCTGGAATTTATCCAGACTCTTTTCCTTACCTCCCATAAGCTAGCTGGAGAGTGTACATTTGCGACCACCATCCATGTTATCCTCATATTTTATTAAAGGGAATAATCAAAGTAGGTTTCTACAATGGTAGGAGGCTTGGCTCACATACCTACATTGCTTTTTAATCCTACATTCCTAATAGTGTTCTCCTTGAAATTAATGGGATATTTAAATTGATTACACTGAGAGTATAAAACAAGACTAATGTTGAGTGATTTTTGAAAATCCCTCACAAAAAATCAGAGATCCTATGGATCCATTGCCCATTTTAGGCTGCTTTGTATTGATGCAATGAACTGAATATAAGGTATGATGACGTGGTTTTAATAAACTGTCAAGCAATATATCCATAGATACAAATGGTACCCTCACAGCATTGTAAAGTTACTCAACTATGAAAGCACTATTTGTAAAATAAGAAACTCTTGACTTTTATATGGTTTAATGGTTTATACTGTTGATCAAAGATTGTTTGTATATGAGCAATGAAAAAATGAGGTGTATATTATTCTTTTTAATGGTTTTTAATTTTTGGAGGACTTTTATTGTAATATACTGTTGTATTTGGGGGGAACAAAAAGCAGTGGCTAGCTTGTAGCTTGTAGCTAGAGGAGAGCTCACAGTAAGCGTTCTTTGTTGATGGACTTACGTTTTTTTTCTGGTAAAATTTTCACCTTGGGGATTTATCCAGAGCTTAGTGAAGCTAGTAACAGCACTCTTTCCTCTCTTCAAGACTCTTTGGCTCTTTGCATGCACAGTACTGGAGTTTCATAATGTGAGCAATAATACAGGCAACCCTTGTGACCAATGGAAGTGCAATATGAAAGCCCAGGTGCTGCTTATCAGGGCCCTAAAAAAAGCTGCTCTTTTTTGTGTCAGGTTCCCACTTCACTTCCATGACAAGAGCAGAAGCAAAGTGAAAGCAATCCCTCAAAAGCTGATCCATGTGGCATATGAAGCCATAGTGCTGGCCATTTCCAAAGTGCATAGCTAAGGGAAAATGAAGTCTCAGCCAGTGTCACACTGATGACTTAAATTGTTGTGCTATACTAGGCAGGAAGAGAAATTCTGTTAGCAAAGGCAGCCAAATGAAGCCACAGTGTACCCTGAGTATGAGTGTTTAATATCCAACTGGTGGAGCATGTGGCAAAGATTAAAGGAATTGCAGGATCTTCAACATAACAAAGCAAAATACACTGCATTGGCAAGACAATAAAGAAGAGAGGAGCTGGAACTGTCAGTATGCATTCAGCCTGGATAGGTCCCTGGTATCACAATTAGTAAACAAAATAATTTTTGTCTTTATAGATGAATTTTATACACAGAAAAAAAAAAAAAAGCCACAACAGCACCTTTTTCATTTTCATCTTTCCTTCCAGACCCTTCCAGTACATAGGCTGCATGTTTTACCAGCTCAACCTATTTTATGCAGAAATTATGTAGTCTTAATCTTCATATTACTGGTTGTCAGAAATGTCTAATGTGTATTAATGCATGATATTTTTATTTTAATAAAAGTAATTAAAGAAATATTTGCTCTTTTGGCACATTATTTCCTTCTCCTCCTCCACTTCAAAATCAACTGGCTTGAGAAGATTCTAAATAAGTTAGTATTGCTCAGAAGAAGAAGAATTAATATCAAGAAGGAAATTGAAATATACATTGTGTATCTATGCACCTCCTCTGTGAAGATCAGAAATCAACTTGTAGATTTAAAAGTCCTTATCAGACAGGAAACTGCTGTTGTCTGTATCTGACAGAGGCAGAGCAATGCCTTTGTATTTATCCCAAAGAGGTCAGGACCCTGACTTGCTAAATCCCACTTTCAAAACACCAAAAGAGATTAACTTAAAATGAAGAATGGTGTAAGTATAGAAAGGCGTGGGTGTTTGGGAAGGATGAGCATTCAGAAATTCCATTGAGTTCAGTACAGTCAACTTCAAATAAACAGAAAAGTGACAGAGTGTGCAAGAATAGAAGACAGCCAAAAAAAAACCAGCCGCAGTTTAACCTCCCTATCTGCCTGCACAGGATATGGTAGATTAAGATAAGATATAGAAAATTGCTATTAAAAGATAGGAGAGGAATACGAGTCTCTTCCA